AGCATTTCCTGCACTGAGTAATGTGAGTTTGAAAACTCTTTGGAGAGTATTTGAAAAACCCCACGACAACCTTGCATCTCAATGATATTCCCATAATCAATCATGAGTGAATCAATCTCATTTTTTTTCCTTGAGACTTGGCCCAATTTCGTTCTCCTTTTTTTTAATTAACTGCGCCAGCCTATCTTCTAAAGCCTTTTCTGTAGGTCTTATTGTTCTTTTTGGTCTGACGTCAGCATTTTCCACGGGCACTTCACGTTCATTCCCGTTTGGGTCCATAGGACTTTCATTTGTTTCCACATTTTCCTTTTCAGCCATTGTTATGCTTTATTGTCATTAAACATCCACTTGTAAACAGCTGTCCTTATTTTAATGTTGCGCTTTGTTATTGTGCGGCTTGGATCCGCGGCAGTACGCCAGATAGACAAACTTATTAAACGCTTTTCAAGATGCGCTCCTTGAGTTGCGCTCCTTGAGTTACGTTCCACACTTTATTCATAAGCGAATTTATTCCACTTCCAGCATTAGATTATACTGTATTGCAACATCCACAACATGCGGCACAAGCCTTTTTCCACAGAAATCCACGTTGTCACAATCCAGGAAGTCAATGCAGTCCTTCCTTGTTCACTATGAAGTCCGTGATTTGTAAACTCACGATTCACATCCGCTCGTATCCATTCATTTCCAAGAGTATTTCATTCATTATAATAATATGGTGGCAACCATTTAATTCCACACGGATTTGTCCATCACGAGAGTTTTTAACAATGTCGTGGCTTCCTTCCTTGTTTTTCCACCAAGCCACTAGACGCCCCTTAAGAGTCCCTGGGGCCATTTTTCAGCCATTCAGGTTTTCATGTTCATGCCATTTTGGCTGTGTTGAATGAATATTGCTCAAACTTGCCAGAGGATATTCTTTTTTAGTTGTATATTGAATTGTCGTATCAGTTTTTTAAATTAGCCTAAAATGGCTAAGCTACACAAAAACCGACACATTAGTTCGCGGCAAAAAATGCCCCATTGAAAACCATTGAAAATGCTTTTTTTGACCCCACATTTATCTTATCATAAACTCTTGATTTCCTTTATGTTAAGATTTCATTTTGAACTTCTAGCTTTCAATTTTCAATTTTTACATTTGTCTACAAGATGGCGATAATTTTAACCCTTTGAAGCCTGCAGCAAAATGTCACACTTTTTACTGTTTTCTGCAAGGGTCACTTGCTACTGAAATGATATGTGTGTGTCACTTTTGATGTTGGATAATGGTGTGTGTGTGCGTGTGCGTGTGCGTGCGTGTGCGTGTGTGTGCGTGTCCAACTTCAAAATACTTTTCTCTTAGAAGGCCACACTGCGTAATAATCTAATTCAATAATAAAAACAATGAGTTGCAAAAACAAAGTTTTGGTTCTCGCTCAGGTTGTTTATACAGGTGCACTGCAGCCATGGTTATAAGTATTACTATCAGTGCAGGAGTAGTCTTTTTGGAGATGGCAAGGCATTACAGCACACAGGAAGCTCTGGACATCATCATGCACTCTGATTGCGAGGATGGCTCCTCATCCTCCTCCGTGGACTCTGAGGCTGACACAGAAGAGGCCTCAGAGTCCATGGAGGACGCCTCAGAGGTGGGAACAGACCAGCTAGAGTCCAACTCAGACTCATCTGAAACTGAGAGCGGAGGGGAGATGGAGGAAGCAGCTGGACGGATGGACTTAAAAAAATGGTAAAGTGTTTTGGTCTCCCACAAACACTGAGACGCTCCGCTACGTCCCAGCAGCCAGAAGTTTGACCCCGGGACCAACACACTATGCTGTCGCCCGAATCAGTGACCCGGCATCCAGCTTTGCACTGCTGATGACAGATGACATCCTGCAGCATATTGTGTCCATGACAAACCTGCATGGGAGACGGTCAATTGCAGAGTGGCGAGATATGGACACAGAGGAACTGCAGGCTTACGTGGGGCTGCTCATTTTGGCCGGTGTTTACAGATCAAAAAATGAATCGACCCTAAGCCTCTGGAGTGAGAAATCGGGACGGAGCATTTTCCGAGCCACGATGTCCCACAGGAGGTTTCACCAAATCAGCCGAACACTGCGGTTCGACGACAAGCTATCCCGATTGCGGTGCCGTGATGACAAGCTGGCTGCTTTCCGCAAAGTCTGGGATATGTGGACGCACCGCCTACCGATGCTGTTCAGCCCATTCAGCGACGTCTGCGTGGATGAACAGCTCGTCCCATTCAGAGGCAGGTGAAGCTTCAAGCAGTATATGCCAAAAAAGCCGGCCAAATACGGTATAAAGATTTGGGCAAACTGTGATGTAAAATCATCATACCCCTGGAGACTGCAGGTGTATACAGGCAAAGCAGCTGGCAGTCCTTCTGAAGTCAACCAGGGGATGAGGGTGGTCCTGGAGATGACAGAGGGGCTCCAGGGACACATCATTACCTGTGACAATTTGTTCACGTCCTTCACACTGGCTGAGGAGCTGCTCAGGAGAAAACTGGCCCTGGTTTGCACAATTCGCCGAAACAAGCCTGAGCTTCCCCCAGGCGATCCTCTCCTCCACCTTTGCCTTTACGAAGACCCACACACTGGTCTCTTACATCCCTCGACGTGGCAGGAATGTGCTGCTTCTAAGCACGAAACACCGCAGTCCAGACGTAAGCGACAAAATGAAGAGAAAGCCAGTCATAATCAAAGACTACAACCGATGCAAAGGAGGTGTCGACAACCTTGATAAGGTAGGCACACATGTATTCTTACTCTTATATTCTTGTCTGAAATATATGTAGGTTTTTTTCAAATGAGCATTTTCCTATAAAATAATTAATATTTGCATCATGAGAGAAAATGCTTGGAATCATTTATTCAAATTGTTTTTGTTAGGTTGTTGCCACCTACTCCTGCAGGAGGAGAACAAATCGCTGGCCACTTGCCCTCTTCCACAACCTGGTTGACATTTCCCATTACAACGCCTACGTCCTGTGGACATCAATCGAGCCATCCTGGCAGCAGCAAAAACCATACAGGAGGAGGCTCTTCATTGAAGAGGTGGGAGAAATGCTGGTGACCCCACACATCAAGAAGAGAGGGCGCCTTCCCCGCTCATCAGCCGCTGCAACAATGGTGTCAGATCTGCAGGGTGCTGCTGCAGGCCCCTCTCTCATCAGTGAACGGAAGAGCGGGAGGCAGTGCCACTTTTGCATGGACAGAAGAGTTTGCAGCACCTGCTGCAAATGTGGGAAATTCATATGCAAGGACCACAGTCTGTCCATTTGCAGCCCCTGCTCCACCTGAGCTGGACTCTCACAGTGTTCATTCAATGTTCATCTTTGTAAAATAAATGTTTTTCTGGTTCAAAATGATCTTGTATTATTCATTTTAGTCAGGCTGGAGTAGTTTTAAAAGACTGACTCTTTGAAAGTGGGAACAAATATGAATATATCATATTTTTATAGCAACTTTTGTGAAGGTGGCATTTTCTGGCCTTAGGAACACGAGTGTGAGTTTTTGTTTAAATCTAACACTGCAAAAAAAATAACAATGCATTCAAATTTATTTTGCTGCCAATCATTGACCAATATAGGGACCTAATAATAACAATAATCAAATATTCCTTGAAATTTATTTTTTGAAAATTATTCTAGTTTTTTGTTCTTTTCAATAAAAAAACTGTGGAGTTTTTTCAACAAACTGGCATTTAAAGGGTTAAAATCCCCAAAATATAATTCATATTTCATATGTGTATGTCAGGCTGGAGTAGTTTTAAAAGACTAACTCTTTAAAAGTGGAAATAAATATTAATATATCATATTTTTATAGCAGTTTTTGTGAAGGTGGCATTTTATGGCCTTAGGAACAAATACGTTTTTTTTTTTTAAAGGGACTCTTAAGGGTTAAACAGACAGTTCTAACTCGTTTCTCTCCTTAAATTACTCACAGTTTGAAGTGTTGCTTGGCCTCCGATGGTTTAGAAGATGTTGCGATGTATTTGCTCAAAATAAAATAACAAACTTTTGCACATGCAACAAAGAAAAATAGGCCTTTACAATATTCAAAAGAAATAGGCAAAACTCAAATAAAACAACACAACTTAGGTATTCTTTCTTTCTTGATAATGCTTATCTTCACAACTTAAAGGGTACTTGTACGGTCTGTTCCTCGACGGAGTCTCTCAACAGGTTGCCCATCACTGTGGCGTTAGCACAGGCGCAGTGGGAATTGTAGTCCTTTATAGTGCGTTGACTACAGACGTCACAATTAGGTGGCCTTTCTTATCAAATCAAATTACTGGCTCTAACAGTATGTGTATTCACTCTCTGTCCTAAACGGCTTGTTGGAGCTCCTGCCCCCCCCCCCTCGTGAGCCCAGTGGCCGTCTGCAAGACAGCGAGACACAGTGAAACCCAGCCCGAAACACACACAGACACACCCGCAGCCTGGCTGGGAGTTTGCGTGTGTGCTCAGGCTGAGTTCCGCTGTGTCTCGCCGACCCCACACCGGTGAGCCAGCTCACACTGTCCGCTCCTCGCAGCAGCGAGCCTCCAACGTCCCGCAGAGTATGTGTGTGTGAGGAAGTACGCGGATTGGTCCAAACGTAACGGCTCCGCGGACGTAACGTCACTATACCCGAAATACGCCACTATACCCAAGAAGAAAACAATGGAAAAAGAGAAATGTCCAACGAGGCGTTCTGGGGCAGCATAGACAGGTATTTTCTGTGTTAGAGTTGTACTCGCTACAGGGTGTACTTTGAGGGTTTGTGACTCTGCAGACCGTTTACATGCAGAAAAACCTTCATAACACACAAGGGGACGGGTAATAACCGGAAAAGCATGACTGGGACCTTTAAATGACATCACACATGTATCCTGTTTGCTCTCATTAGCAGCGAGTTAATCAGCTCATAGTTGCTGTTTGTTTGAAAAGGTTAGCTATTGATTGTGTCTCAATTCCAAAGGGAAGAAAACAAAGACAGGACTCAACATCATTAACTTTCCAGGCATATTTAATTGGCACGGTAAACACAATACAAAGTATTCAGTGCTCCAAAACACAAGCATGGGCTACCAAATGGAACACAAACGAAAAAGTGCAAAAACACACCATTTGGTAGACCTTAGAAAGGAAAGGAAGTCTTACTTTGCAAAGCAGATAAAGTAATGGTAAGACTCTCAATAGTTAAAATAGATGTTTTCCTTTTTAAACTTTATTTATATATTCATATATATTCTCTCTAATTCCAACGTGCCGTTTCCTCTGTACAGGCAGGTTATTCCGGGGCAGGGACTCAAAGTTTTGTGGTGTCTTTGCAGAGCACTGGCAGAGATGGATGCTATTGAGCTACAATGATCTGTGCCTCTTCAGATTTATCGTTAAAAACATAATAAGGTTTTTGAAATCATGACATGTTGAAAAGAAAACATGAACTTCAGCAGAGATTTGATCATTTCTTCCATGTAAGAATCCAAATGGTCAATATGTCCGTCACTCCTCCGGTTGAAAAGTGGTTGTAACATGCTGAATCAGATCAATATTTAAGAATGGCTTCATACAGAACAATTTCATTGTTACTAATATTTGCAGTTAAGGGATTTCAGTCCCATTCAGGCAGAAAATACAACATAGACTTCCAGCTTTAGAAAACAAAAAAAGAAAAGCTGAATCTCAACTTAACATCATCAAATATATAAACCAGAAAATGTTAAAATCACGTACATTATGTGCCGGGGAATCAGTGGAAATACTTTCTCTGTATGATTATAAAAACTCTTAATTTTGCCCCCAAACTTCTTGAGATAATCACATCTTAATCCTTTCAGCAAACCACAGCTATCAGCATCATCCTTTCTCTCAGAAAACCAAAGTTAAGGCCCAAAAAAAGCAGGAGATTCTGGGTCAGTCACAGACTCACAGGAAAAGGATCACAGTATATTTCCATATACAGTAGACAGTTTAAGTGGATCATCCTAATATCAGGTGTAAATCATATCTTCATTTTTGGGTTGCCTGGACCGAGTGGAGACATTTCCACAAGGCTGATTAACTGTAAACTAACAACAACGTGTGTGATCAAAACATACCATAATAACATTTTGACATACATACTGTACTGTGTACTTACAGACCTACCTATGCATAAAATCATTCAGAAAACAACATATTCGGGTCCCTATCGTCCTTTACTGAGATTAAACTGGTGAACACTGGGAGGAGGAGATCACTCGTTGTTAAAAACAGGAAAACATGCTTTATGAACTAAAAAAAACAAGGTATTATAAAAAAAAAGAACCACAGGCACCGAACCTAAACAGTAGCATTCAGGTTAATTCAGTACGACCAGGCAATGAGGGTTAACTGAACAGAAAGGCTGGAGGCGGGGGGGCGTAAGCTAACCTTACCCCCACCCCATCGCCTGCTCCAGGGTGCCAGCAGAGGGGCGAGGAGGAAGACAGGGCAAGCATGCAGCACACCACAACGCTGAGAGGCCCCCCCGCTGCAGCAAAACAAGGGTGCTCGAAGCAGCAAGGGGTTAGCCTGAGCCGCGTCAGGGGGAGGGAGGGTGTGCTCAGAGAGAGGGACAGTGAGGATGAGGAAAATGGAGAATGACCTTCCGTCTCCTTTCCTCTCCTGGATGTGTGGGGGTGATCGTGGTGTGGAGGAAATGGGACACAAGGCCTTCAAAATAAGGCGTTCAAGCACACAACAGAAGAGAGAACACACAGATACATGATCCTTCTGAAACCTGCAAATATGATTTAGTGAGAGGGTGAACATGAGTGTTTTAAGCCCTAGATGCAGTGGTGGAATGTAACTGAGTACATTTACTCAAGTAATGTACCTGAGTATCATTTTGGGGTGCTTTTACTTTTGACTATTTTCATTTTCTGCTACTTTCTACATTTCAGATGTAAATGTTTTACTTTTACTGCACTACATTTATTTGTAGTTACTTTAAAAAAATAAATACATGTTTATATGATCTATATTTACCAATCATTTACTAAGTATTTTCCAAAATGCGCTCCATATGTTTCTAATGATTCAAACAGAAACATATAATATTCTATAATAATACAACAAATGTATAACAGGCATTCTCCACAATGAGTACTTCTTATACTTGAGTACATTTAGCTGATAATACTTTTATGTTAGTGACATTTTTAACTCAGGACCTTTACTGGTAATGGAGTATGTTTAGACTGTGGTATTAGTACTTTTACTTAAGTAAATGATCTTAGTACTTTTTCCACCACTGCCTGTATGTAGATGGCGTCGGGGTGACGCTCCCCTGAGTGAAGGAGTGAGGAGGTCATGGCTCACACACACACACACCGCAGGATGAAGGTGTTTTGTCCACAAGGCTCCAGCTGGTCCCCGTCCTGTCTCTGACCACAACCTCCCTTGTGTGTGTGTGTGTGTGTGTGTGTGTGTGTGTGTGTGTGTGTGTGTGTGTGTGTGTGTGTGTGTGTGTGTGTGTGTGTGTGTGTGTGTGTGTGTGTGTGTGTGTGTGTGTGTGTGTGTATGTATGTATGTGTACAGTGTTAGGTAAGGAAGAGGAGAGGTGTCAGAACCGGGGGGGGGGGGGGGGGGGGGGGGGGGGGCGTTCAGAGTGAGGAAGCCAACAGCCACGTTGATGACCGCGTGTGGTGCAAGCGAGTTAGTTACATTAAAGCAAGCTGAAAAAGGCAGATTGAATACTGTGGTTGTGACTGCTGCATGGCTGTTAACAGTGGAAAGGGTTATGAGCTCTAAAATTTAGATGGACTTCTCTTATCGTGGCTTCTCTTCGCAGAGGAAGCATGGTTTGTTTCGTAAAGGTTTTTGGGAAATTGAGATGCATACTAATCGGGCGCCCCTCTCTTTTTAGATTGAGGTCGTCTTTCACTTTCTCTCTCTGACTCTGTGAGCGCGCGAGGAACATGGTGGTTTCTCCCAGACTGCTTGCCCTGCCATTCCTCATCCAGCCTCACACTTTTAGGAATCTGCAATAAAAAAAAAAAGAAATACGAACAAACAAAAAAAAAAAATGACAAAAAATAAGTTAGATGGTTTTAACGGCAAATCAAGGCAACCCATCTATTCAGACTTAGAGAGGTGGGTAAAGAAGTCATTGCATTTATGAAAGCACTTTAAACTGACATAAAATACTGTGGTGTAGGCATGACCGCATTTACCCAAAGATGCATCTTGATCTGTCTTTACATCGTTCAATGTCCTTTGGCTTGAATGCATGTTAGAACCCGGCCCCTTTGTCACAACATGCTGAAATCACCTCATGACAACGACAACAATCCTGCAGCATGCCACACATTTCATATGCTCCTTGATCAAAACTATAGAGACTTGAATTCTTCCCCCAGATCTGCACATAAGAACCCCATGCTGTGCCATCGAAGCTCAGTAGAAATGTTTGAAAGGGAGTTGAACACTTTATGAAAGAGATGATTGCCGATCTTGGAAAGTAGCACAGAATGTCTTTTTGCAGCAGTGAGGTGGAATGACACACCATGCTTTACAGTAAACGCCCGATTTAACAGAGGTACGTGCAGGAAACCACAAAGCGTTAAAGTCACAACCAGCTCCTTCAGCCCAGCTCACCAAAGAGCTCAGAACAGCTAAATCTCAGTCTGGCCTGGGGAACAGGACCAGAGCAGCCCAACACTATCAAATAAAAAAGGTGGATTAAAAAGGAAAGTGGGGCTATTGGTTACTAATCTGATCAATAGTTATATAAAACGACCCCTTACGAGGGAAGATTCATTACATTCACAAGGTCTATCTGGTAACAGCACTATGATTAATCTACACGCATGCAACATTTGATTTTTATTGTCTTTTTTTCAGTTTAGCTTACAAAAATATCTTTTAATATGTATCCATATTTTACAGCAGATTACAATTACATCAGCATGATTGCACATGGAGCATGCTTTCCTTTTAGGTTACAAGGAGTGACCAAAACACACTAACGTCACTTCAGACGGTGCGTACATTCATTTAAGAGTTCAGTGATTTACTACCAAACTGGCTCAAATATTCGATTTTGCGAATCAGACTCATGATTAAAAGTATTATAATTTAAGGAAATACTTTCATTAAAAATCTTGACAAAAAAGATATTGTAAAATCAAGTACTGTGTGTTTTAAATGTACACATGATCACTGTCAGTGGGTGATTCTTCCCATAATGCTTAGCTTTGACTGGGAGTCAGGTTTTATTTTGTATCACCACTAGGTGGCACTGCAGTAAATGGGAGGTGAGGAACTTTCTCTAGAAGCTTCTTTACACAACATCCCCCTTGCTCAGCTCTGTGTCATTTCTGAAACATTACCAAATGTTTTGCTCAGATTGACACACACTCTTTCTACACACTATCAGCCACTACTGTCATGAGGCACAATGGACACATCTGATTGGTCCTTCCTTTCGAGAGAGACAGGAAGTGTGTGTTTCTTATCTGAGCTACCAGTAACAACCTTTAATCTCAGCAGTGAATGGAAACTCACAGTAACAAAAACACACTTGCTGAGTTAAATGTATGTCATAGCACCTTTGGCATTTGTTTCCAAAAAGACCTCGACGTAGGACGTGGGGACGTATCCCTCCTCGTCCTCGTTCCTGCGCACTCGTGTCCATCCGTCCCCTTTGTCCTCTTCTATAACATACAACAGCTCGCCCTCTGCCACGGCGATGGTGCCCTCATTGTGACCTGCAAGGGAAACAAAAAGAGAAATGAGAAGGAAAGGATTACAAATGTCCACCTTACACACTGCTTTGAAGTCACTTCTCGAGTTTAATATCTAAATCAGATTTCCTGAATACGGAGAGAAGGCAAGGCTACAGTAGATGATGTGTGGTAGGAAATTGCGAATAGTATTCTTTTACTTATTATGCTTCTCCTAAACCTGCATGAGCATACAGAGTGAGTAGACTCACCTGTACATACACAGGGTTGCCAACTTTGGGTACCTGGCTGGAGTGATATTTGATATCATGTGTTTAATTACACACATGTGCACGAAATGACTGCTATCGTGTTAGCAGCGGGACCTTAGCATATATATAGGATATATATACAATATATACAAATACACAATATTGGACACAGACTACAAAGGGCACACAGTTTCATTCACTAATGAAAGTCAAACACATGTTTGTTTCCACTGTTTTATTGTGTGCCTGTCGCGATAAGCAATTAATTGACTTATCGTACGATAAATAAAAATGAACTCGATAAATTGCCATTTACATGAGGATGTGACTAGCAGTTTGAAAGGATGTACTTGAATTATTATTATGTATTATCATTATGTCAGTGGTCTAAATGACCATACAACGGTGCCGACAATATCATCGTTTAATCGCAATAATTTCCGGGAAAATGTATCCAACAAAATTAATTATCGTGAGAGGCCAATACATGAAACACACACACAAACAAATCTACAGACTTACTCCAAACTGCCAAATATATTAATTAACACACTCTCACTCTCATACACTCTTTGACTATATTTTGGCCTAGTAGAACAATAAGCAGCAGACTTTTACTTTTTATCATTTCTACTGGATCTTAGATCTGCGCATGCGCAATACGGCAGTTGCGGCTCCAGAGTATTTGTGTTGGGTAATCTATGGTAGGGCTAACCCATACAGTGGTGGGGCTCAAGTCAGTATTTGCGATGTAATTACATACACGCTCCTCTTGACAGTGAAACGCCACGCGTGAGGTTTAGATTATTTCCCTGTCTCAATCCAAATTAAACTGTATGAAATAAAAAGTCACATGTGTCTTGTAGTAAATAAAAAGCGTGACCAGGGGCCTCATTTATAACGCCGTGCGTAGGATTCACGTGGGAAGGTTGCTTACGTAGTAGAAATCCAAAAAATAGGTACAGAAATTTTCCGATTCACCAAACATTGCGTACCGGCGAGGAAAGTGCGTACAGCACTTCCTACGCCGGTTTCCCTTTATAAATCACAATCGACTCGAAATGCGGTGCAGCTTTTGCGGGGTTCACGTAACGCCCATATTTGCCTATAAATAGTCAAAGAAACGCCCATTCATTCCTTCATTCATTTTGACTGACTTTATGAAGAAGATAGCAGGAAATGACGACAGAACAGCTAAAAAAGACATCTCACACCGTGTCAGATTTTGGTTATTTTGGGGAGGAGGAGATAAATCATATTGTCTGGTGGATGCAGTTTGAACCAGAGTAGCAGCATGGAGGTCGGATCGTCACCAAAATAAATAAATAAGTGGTCCGAAAAAGGTTAATGACAAAAAAAATACACATAGCCTTCCTCAGGCAGTGTGTTTGTACCGGGGACAGCAGACCCCCCTTGATGAGAGACTGTAAGAAGTGATCGGGGAATCCCTCCGGAGTGGAGTCATGACGACTGGATCTGAATTATGTTTTCGTATTTGGTGGTTTGTGTTCCAGCTGTCGATCAGCTGTGCGCAGCGTCTCCACTGCAGCAACTCTATATCCACCAGTTAGAGGAAATACAACTAATGTGTTGTGTTATATTAGCTGTACAATTTACCATATATGGTGTTCTTAGTTTCCATACCTCCTGTGTTTTATGAGCGATTTATCAAGTCTTAGCAAACGGCATAAAACATGATTAAACATGGTAGTATATAACCATGCTCGTACTACGGAAGAGGATTAGGGCCACATACATTTTTTTTTTGTGAGGATTTGGAAAAAAAACGTTTTTTTTTTGTTCTGAGAAAAAAGTCAGAATTCTGACTTTAATCTCAGAATTCTGACTTTAATCTCAGATATAGAAATGCAAAACCGCATAAGTTATGAGAAAACATTTCATAACATTAACACAACATATCGAGGTGGTTTTAAATAACATATCCGTATTTATTTATTTCTCCAAGTTATGTTTTTGTGTGCACTGAGGAGTCTCAAACAGGCTTTTGTTTAATCATTTTAAGATTGGCTTTAATCAATGTTTGAAAATGAATTCTTCATATATGATAAATGAGAGGTAACATTTTATTTATGGTATTATTTCCACATATTTCTCTCCATTCTTCCTTCTGCCAACGGTGTCGCAGTTTCTCGTCTCTCCCGTTTGTGTGCTTAGTGCGTACGCATGGATTAGAGTTTGCGTGGAGGACCGCACGTTTTCCCGTCAAGTTAGTATTTTATAAATCGCAAACATTGCGTAGAAACTGGCGTACGCCATTTTTTGAGCGTATATCCCTTTATAAATGAGGCCCCTGGAGCCAATCCTTCAATTTACCCACAGGTGAAAGAGTTGACATGCTGAAAACCCAACTCCTGCAGGGGGGTCTGGGGGGGATTCTCCCCCAGGAGATTTTTTGAAATACTAACATAAAATACACATTCTGGTACTCTCTTGAGAATACAAATAAATAAATCTATTACTACACGACATATTTAAAAAAATTAATGCCATTTTAGTTTTTAGTAATGACTTTACATTGTGGATAAGGGTGGATAGCCCCCATTGTTCTGTGTGTCAAAATGAAAGACAGCCCACACACCTATCAATCATCAAACCGTGGGGTCTTATTTCATTACGTGTTGATTTCTATCAACACGTAATGTTGTATCGATGTATATAGAGATGTACTACAGCAAAGGTATTCTCCGTCGGGACTTCCTGCAACAACACCACGCCGTTATCTTGATTCTGATTGGCCAGAAAACATTATCAAAGATGTTCTATTGAGAAGACGATCACTACGTGACAAAAGTTTTCAAAACCGTTTCTAGTCTTCGGTATTCTTGTTTTTGGCGTGAGAATAGTTTGGGCAGCGTGAGAGCGTGAGATTGAGTGAAAGCGTGTGTCACATGCCAGATGCGTGAGAGTTGGCAACCCTGACATACACGGTACTTTGGATGTATATCAGAGTAGAATATTAGTCAGGCAGTCTTATAACCTAAAGATACTTCTATAATAAAACACATGTATGACAACTACAGTTATTATGGTGTTATCTACAACACCAGCTAACAATTATTACTATTGTGGATATTTAAAATGTTGAGTAAACAAGCCGGACTTCACGGTTCTTGATTCCTGGGAATACTTATCTAAATGATTCCCCTGGAAATATGATGTTGTGAAAACAGGAAACACTAGTGATATTTTTAGTCTAAAGTCAATAGGCTGATACCCACAAGATAAGTATCACTACACATACGTCCTTTAGATCCTCCCATGTAGATGCTATCTTTAAAACCCACGAAAAACCTCTTTCCTGCCTGCACTGACTCTAGTAGACCTGCCATGTTCTTAAAATGGCAAATCTGCGTTTTGCACATTAAGAGCCCAATGTTGGCGTCTGAATTGTTCTACATACAGACCGTATTTGCTAAGATGCACATTGAACAATGTTTTAAGTTCACAAATGACCTGCTTCTTCAGATATTTAACGTTTGTTATGGAAGTTTATCATAATGACGTCTTTGTTTCCTCATAGTAATAAATGAATGTCCTGTTTAAAGAGAACAGATTCATTTATCTCTGAGGGGAGGACAACAGCTTTTATCATCCCTCCGATCGATCAGGGCTCTTTTCACCTTTCTTCACAGCGCTGTAGTCAAAGTGTTTGAGAATTGGCCAAATATGATTTTGAAAAGGCTTTCCACTGTCCTCCTCCACACATATTTTTTCATAAGATTAAACACTACTCCTCCACATTCAAAGTAATCAAACACCTCCACCCTGCGTCTGTACAGATAAAGGGCACATGTGCTATGGAATGTTTAAATTGAGCGGAGTATCTCTTCAGCTGTGAGGCATCTCCTGTTACCTTCAAACGGGTACAAGGCCTTGCAGGTGCCGATGGTGGGCAGGGTCTCGTCGTCATCAAACTCGTCGTCGAACTCCGGCGTGGAGGAGGTGGGGAGGGCGGGGTTGACGGTGGGGTTGACGGTGGGGTTGACGGTGGGGTTGACGGGGGGGTTGACGGGGGGGTTGACGGTGGCTTTGACCTGCGTCTCTGAGTTCTGCTCCTCTGTGTAGCTGCCATCCGGGCTGCTCAAGGGCCAACACACACACAGTAAATATACTTTGAAAACATACATAGTTTTTAAAGGTGTGTAACCACTCTGGGATGTTTTATGTGAGTGATGGATGTTTCGTCAGGGTATACCATACCTCTCTCTGTCCTGCGCACAGTTGTTGCTCACGAGTTGAGTGGAGTTGTTCTGGGTCTCATAGAGCCCACTCCTCCGGTTCGAATCGCTCTTAGATGGCATCCTTTCCTCCACCTCCGCTAACCAGCCCTGAAACACACAGTCATTATTATTATATTATTATTGGTTTTAAACCTGACAACTTGAGATATATTTTAAGCTGAGTCGAAATCTTTTTTATCTTAAAATCAGATGGCCTTTTATATGGCAAGAACTTTCAATGGAGGAGCAACACTACGGATTAGATGATGTAATGTAGCCTTATTTTACACAGGAAGATATGAGGGATATGTGGGTTATCTCTGTGATGCAACACAAATATTAGTTTCTTAATAAAAGTTTGGCTAAAGTGAGAACAGCTTGTTTTAGTGCCATGTTGAGAGTTTTATGGAAATGTTCATACATTTTTAATTTGTATTTATTTGCTGATTCAAGGGGAAAAGAGCACATTAATAATCACTGCTGCAAATGCGCCAGGCTATTTCTCATATATTGTCCCTGGACATATGTTTAAAAGTCACGCTAAATACAAATTACAATATTAAAAATAACATGTCAATTAAGACAAAAACATCCACATTACGTACGAAAACATACTAATGACATTGGGTAACGAGTGTGCTTGTTGTTGTTGATTTGGATGACTTTTGGGATTATTTGAAGAATAAAGTAAACCACCTTTTTTTTTTTTTTAGAGAATTGTGACATTTATTATATACTAACCTAAACATTCTGATATGGTCCTATTCCTAAACAGCACTGCCTTACACTCCACTCTCTTTCCCATGTCTAAGGTTAAAGCAGGACACTGTTCTGGGCCTCCTCCCCCCCACATGAAGCTCCAGCTGCATCACATCTTCTCCTAATATGGACGTGCGGCAGACTTTATTGGATCAACCCCAGATCGAGACGTGTGTTTGAACTCCTCATTATTTGCTGTGGTGAATAAACCAAACAAGAAAGCTTCGCCAACACTAACACTCAAGAGGAGAGGAGATCTCAGGCTGGCACTGAACGCACCTCAAACTTCTGCGCCTCGTACTGGAACTTCTCGATGTTCTGGCCTATTTCTGACAGCCGGGGGTCCACGCTGGCCGGGTCCCCCATCTGAGGGTTCTTCACGTACACGTCTTTCATCTTAGTGAGCGCGTCCCTGGGAAGAAAACGAAAGTTAATCCAAGTCCTTGTTGCATATTCACTTTTAAAGTCATTGCATTTTTTTGAGTACTACAAAGGCAACCAAGTTAGCATCCAACCAGAAGTGCGAAAGAAGCAGTAAAGTGCAGTGTAAGTATATAAATATGATAGATATTAAAAAAAAATTAAGTATATATACAACAGTATGATCAGTATTTATGAGTATATCACTATAAACACACTGTATAAACACTTTAATTGTTACGTATGGCTTTTAATGTGGGTTCATTTAACTGGTGAATAAAATAAAACTGTATTGTTTTTGTACCTAGTTTTAATTAATTTGTATTTCATTATTATGTTTTTTTTCATCTCATTAGTTCTGTTGAGTACTTGGGCTGCATTCAAGCATTACAAGTGTTATACAAATAAAGTTATAAATATTATTATTAATATTATAATACTACAGAGCTGGTAGGAATAAAGATAGCATAATACAGACACTATAGACATAATAAATATGAATACAATATAGACAGTGATGGACACTAAACAATAATATGAATACATGTGAGTTTGCTATAGTTGTTTGGACAGTTTAATAAATAAAATGCAAAATCAGGAAAAGGGTATCCAGGGGTGTGTCTGTGTGTGGGATGGGGTTCCACAAGGTGGGAAACGTCTTAATAACACACGTAAAGCTACCTCTGGTCCATCTCTTTCTGGATGTCCTTATTCAGGTCGTCAATCTTTCCCTGCAGCTTCTTCCTCCTCTGTTCTGGCGGCAGGTGGCTGAAGTCCTCTGGTCCAGAACCCTGATAAACAAGAGGGAGGAAGAAAAAAGAAACAAAAAGAGAAGTGAGGAGACAGAGATATGTTGTTGTGTTGCTGATTTAACAGGGATGTATTATCTAGCTAGGTGCCCTATATCCCTTTCCTGTAAACCACAACTAAAATGGATAACAGCTACACAAATGGAGTTCTTTGCTATTTTCTATCTTTATGAACCTGTGGGAGATACTGCAGCAACTCTATGACACTCACTAAAAGTTGGGATGTTTGAGTACAGACTGAAAGCCTCCCATCTATTCAGCCGCCACATCTAATCTACTGCTTCCTTGAAACGTAATAAAGTATTAGCTACATCTTAGTTCATATAGTGTTTCAGAGTGAGCAGGATAATTCTCTGAGAGCACGGTGTGTTCCTGAGACTGAGACTGAGTGAGTGAGAGGTTTTTTGGCTGGCTGTGGGTCATATTTCCAGTCTGTATCAGTGAGCTGATGAGTCATACTGCTCGGCAGCACACGTAATGCATCAGTGAATCTTCCGGAAGCTTCCTGTACTAAGTGCTAGCTGGCCTGTATGGAGTCAACATCAAATCTATACATTAATATGAAATAATAGGTAACTTCAAATATTCTATAAAAGATCTGCTAATATGTTCAATCTTATTTTCTTACAGTAACAGTTTATTTTTATTATTTTATTATTTTATTCTTGTATGGTTTATCATGCTTTTTCCCCTTTATTTTATTATATTAAAAGGGACATTTCCCCTTTCATTAGAGAATACGTATTTTAGCAGGGATTTTACAGATATGTTTTTCCTGTAGTGATTTTTATTTAGAAATCTTTAGTCGATAACATACAGACAGTTTCATGTAGAATCTATGTTCTTTACCTTATCACCACTTCTATTCTAAATGTAATTTGTATCATGCCTTACTTTGTTTTATTGTTATCCTTCTATAGTTATTAGCATGTCTTTTATATCTGTTGTTCATTTGATTTTGTATTGCATCTGCAGCCTGTCTTTATACATGTATTCTTCTTCACTGTGTTGTAAAGCACTGTGAACTACACTGCCTGTAAGTCACTGTATACAAAAGTTAATTATTTTGACTATCACCATAATAAAGAGCTTTGTTTTTATTATTTGTCTCATATTAAGATATTATGAAACATCAAGTACTTTTGATCAATTTAAACATATAACTCTCCATATGATTTATTTTTTAAATGTATCAAAAAGAAAGAACATTGTGATCATTTTGCACTGTTGCTTTGGTCCTATCAATGAGGGGAAACTGGCATTGACTAAATAGGTCTTATTGGTACGGGTTACAACGGGACCACCACAAGGACATATAACAGCTGGAGCTACAGACTACACTGCAGTCAGGTCAACAACACATGCAGCTAGGCTACCATGGCAACCTTACCCCTTCTCCCTGCATCAGCACACACCACGGGGCATGCAACATAACAGAGATGGTGTCAGTCATCATGCAGAGACATGCTCATCTCTGGGATGAGCTACAGTACAGCAGTCAGATATATTAGTGTTCACATTCTCTATGTACTGCAAGACACTCCAAACACTATCATCTAGGAAACAGCAACTACAACTATGGGCAGACATCAGGTCATGTGTTGATTCTAGTATGATGAATATGGGATGGATCAGAATTTACTCAATGATTTGTCCATACAGAATCATGTATGGATTTATAAAACACATTCGGTAGAGCATTTTTTGATATAAAAATCATTATGGGGCCTAATTTCTTCAACAATCAGCTTAGTTTTACATGCTTATTTGCTTTATTGCAGAGATACACTCTCATGTTATACACTAAATATCCATATATTGAACATATGAAACTTAGCATAGCTAGCATAAATATGCTAAGTTATGCTAGTTGTACTGTTTGGCATTGTAGGACATTTGAGAATAATAAATATGCTCAAAATATTGCTTAATGTTGCACAAATTGCTCAGCTCATACAGTAGCAGATGTATTATGGAATGTGCATTTGTTCTAATAAATAAACTGTAGTTGGCAGACAAGGGGTGTTTCTCAATGTCGAGTAAAGCTGCTTCAGAGCCACTATTTCAAGCATACTACGCCATCGAGTGCCGTCAAAGGACTGTTCCAATGTCCAGCATACTTGGAATTCTACCGAGCCCGGCGTACTTCGTTTGGAGACATTTCGAGGCTGCACATGTGTAGACTCCGCGGTCTTAAAATCCCCACAATGCTTTGCGCACGGACCAATTTCCCCAAATCTGTGGCGGAAAATGTAAGGCGGGGCCTCTCATATGACGCACACTTGCTCACCTGTTCCACTCTTCGTTTTCCGAATGCCAGGAAGTATTCTTGCCTCGCTTCTGAAGCAAGTGACTCGGAAGACATGTCATGTGCTACCAAGCAAGCGCACTCAACATTGAGAAACACCCAAGATGTTTAAGAGCTCCTGATTCTTTAGTAGTACTTACTTTTTTTTAACCTTTTTACTGTATTACTTTACTGTTCTGTATCAGGAAGTCCAATTCTTGTGAACATAGTACCTTTGCTTAATAAGGCGACACAGAAAGAAATAGGAATGATTTGGAAGCTACTATTTTCTTTTAATTTAACAGATTCTGATCGGTACATTCTTATATCTTGGAGTGAGACGGGTTAGCTGTTCCCCCCCGTTTGCATTCTTGATGCTAAACTAAGCATCTGCTGGCTGTCGCTTTATGTTTAGTGCACAGATATGAGGGAGATATTTACCCTATTTATTTAAGTCTTTGCAAGAAAATGAATATGTTTGGATTCTAAAATGTGAAGCTATTCCTTTAATAATCAAAGTGCGTCTTTTTCAAAAGAAAATATAGGAGTCATTCTACAGAAAAGGTGTAATCTGGGTGATACAAATCTGCTGAAATATATTCCTTCTAAAAACATCTAAAACCTGTTAAATAGCAATAACTAACTCTTAACTTGATGAATCCACAACAAGTAGAGCTTAAAGTATTTGTATTATTTGTATACTTTATACAAAGCTTATTTATATAGGAATGTCACTGGTGTTACGTGTTACCAGGAAGAAGAGTAACACCAGTGACAATTTGGAGAAAACACTACCATTTTAACAAAATTGCATCATAATTTCATTGATCCATTTTCTGTGGAGGCCTGCCATCATACACATCTAGTACATTTTGTGAGCTTCACAGAACAGCATTCTTTAAAAGACATCGGCATGCAGTGTAAGGACGTGAGTGAGACACTACATAGAACAAGTTAATGTTTGTTACGAGGACATACGATCTGTCGAGACATGGAGGGAGGACTACCAGACGGACTAAGAGACGGACAGGTAGAGAAGTCAAACATAGAGTAAATCTGATCACCTCAATGAGATTCCGGACGTGGGAATTGAGTGTGATCTGCACCACAGAGACCACGACACAGTTTGGGAGAGACATGAACACAACCACAACACAAAAACAAACAAAACAACACACAAATGAGACAAGGACATGAGTCTGAGGTCCATTGTTGAGTCACTGCAAAAATAAATATGAACTTAAATACAAAAATGATTAAAAAAAGGAGAACAAAAACGTTATGGCGAACACAACGTTATTAACAGTGTGTTACTGGGAGGAGGTGACATGCGTGCTATGGTCATGCCGCTACGGACGTGAGGTTATACGGTCATGCTTACCAGCTTGAGAGAAAGCTTCATGGGGGAGAGGAGAGAAAAAATGGCGAGGAGCAGGAGAGAGAAAGAAACAACAGTCAACATCAGATGAATATTCACGGCCATTTTTTCCCATTTTCCTTTAAATACTTTAATTGTATTTTATAATGATGATTTGCCAAACTTCACCATTGAAAGAAAAGAGGTGGTAGCACTTTGGGTTTATAGGCTATCGGTGTAAAACACACCGTTTCTGCTATAAACCCACCACTCTTTTCCAATGTGGGTGAAGTTTAACATTTCTGATATGATGGATTAATGAAAAACGAGAAACACGTCGGCTAAAAAGTGCCAACCTACTGCACAAGCATGAAGTTATGAGGGTAAAAATGAAGGAAGACAGATGAATATAAATGTAAAGAAAGAAGTAGAGGGATGGTGACTCGACAGGGGCGGATGAACACTTTATTTCTTCATCTCTCTGCTGCCAGTACACTGACAGCAGAGGGCGCCACAAGCATAAACACATCAGCTGATCCAGACGTTGACATGATGGAGGCAGATACCCAACACACACAAGCTGGGGAAACTATCGCCTGTTATGAGGAAGAAATCTGCACATATCCAGGTTTTTGTATATTGCACATGAATTTCCCATGAAAACAAATTGGTAAGTAGGTTACAAACAACAAAATAAATGGTTGTATTTTTCTGCTGTGTAATGTTTGAGCACAGAGCAGAGTGGAGCCCCCCTGGCTGTAGAGCTGCAGCAGATGACCTGTAATCCTGTTAGAGGCTCACAGGCTGCTGCACTGAGCCGCTCCACACACTTTACTCTACTAATCACCTCATCCACCTGAACTGGAGTGTTACGGTCTTTACTATCACGCCTCTAATCCTGACTCCAACCTCCACGCTGCTACATTACTGTTATATCTCCTCACTAAGTTACGTTTATTATGGGATCACATTGAAATGCAACTTAGGCTGACCAAAGGTCTGTATGAAAGAACATTTTGTAAGTAGGTTTTTGTGAGAGGCTCACTTTACAGAATATGAAATCATATTCAAATCAGAAGTATATCATGATATCACTGAGGGGGCAGACAACATTCATAAACTCTGGGGAAGGATCTAGTTTGGGTCTTGTTTCTGTTTTTATTTGATCAGATGTGGATTATATTCTTATTAACCTGTGTATATGAGAAATGATGGCTTCTAATGTATTGTTATGTGTTTCTAACAACTTACAAAGATATCTTTGATTGAAGAGAGTTCCCAAGTTCTCACTTTTGATGTATAAGAAATAGTATTTTACTTGGCTTAAGAGGGTTTCTTCTTTGCTCCATTTCTTTGCATTTTACAAATACTAAAAGTTGTTTTTAAAGAATGAACAACGGGGCAGATACAGGGTGAATATTTGGACCCAGTTGGGCTTACCCTGCTGTGAGCATGCATGTGATAAATCATGTGATCACTGGAGAGCTGCACTTTATAGTAAGTAGGAGCACATCACATAATAAATGTGTTTACAGCAGAAACTGTATATTGTGGCTCCACAGATCCACCTGGACTCTTTCCAACCCCCAGACAGACACGGATAAACAGGACAACTATGGTCCTTACACACAGATAACAGAGCTGCAGAATGGCACACCAGCACAAAGAAAGCCCTGGAGGGGTGAATTCTGGGTACTGTAGGCTGATACCAGATCCAAGGTGTGACAAACACCTCACCTAATGTCACATGCACCTGACAGTGATATTGAAATAGCAAGGAGGGAGGAAGAGCATCCTCCCGCCTGTAATCTCTCACATCCTCAGGTGCTGGTGACACTTTGTGAATGAACCCCGTGCAGACGCTCAGTGGGGGGGGGGGGGGGCAACAGCAACAGCCAGCAACAAGTAAACCGCAAGCTGAGCCATGTGATGATGAAGTCATCTCTCTGATCATTCGTCTGTCTCTTTTTTCACGCCTGAGAGCCATGTGATCAATACTGAGCCAGGCACAAACAGCAGCTTCCTTTGTGGGGAAAGTTGGCCTTGTAAATTGTGAGGACTGAATGTGTCATAGAGGAACAAATGACCATTTGGTATCATTTACTCACCCTTTGTAACCCTGAATTAGTGAAGGAATCTTTGTTTTTCTCGCATGCCTTCAAACTGAACAAAGAATGTAAAAAAAGGAGAACTTTTTGATGATTTCAAAGGGGCATTATTCTGCTCATTTTCAGGTGCTTACAGTATTTGTATTTAGTGCCTCTACTGTGACATGTCTCCATGCTTTAAAAAGCTCTTTATTCTTCTCATACTGCCTGTGCTGCAGCACCTCTTTTCACCCTCTGTCTGAAACCAGAGCCCAGTCTGCTCTGATTGGTTAGCTGGCCGGCTCTGTTGTAATTGGTCAACCACTTAGAGATGTCCCACCCATCACGTTCAATGTGTTGGAGTGCTAGCCAATAGGAGCGCAAGTCTTATAAAGTGTATAAATAAAATGTAATTATTTTACGAAAGTAAACAAAAGAGTTCAATGGAGGTATTTCAATCAGGGGGGGAGTGTGTGGGAGAGAAACTCCCTCTGGAGGGAACACAGGGATTTTAGCCTTTGCAGAGCGTGTAATGCACAAAAACCTTTTTAACAAATGACAGGAAAGGAAAAACCCTAACAAGCATAATAGGGCTCTTTAATGAAATGTAGACATTAAGCACGAGTTGTGAGGGAGTTTGTAAATATAACATCACTTTGCTGATTTTTAATGCGGCCCCCATCTGCTTCAATTCCTCAATAATTCCCTTTCTTTGATTCTTCTTTCCCCGTGGGGGTATGCGAGAAAAATAAACCTCTCTTCAAGAATTCAAGGTAACACCAGATGAGTAACGGATATACAAGATGTTCCTTTAAGGAGGCTGCTGAAAGTGCATGGCTTCTACTAATCACACACATTCAATATTCATTCACACTTTCTCCCAACCACCCGGATCACACACTCACTGCTGGTACTCACTGATGCCTATCTTACACACACTTACAACATATTTCCTGGCTTCGAAAGCATACGTGGGTCGCCCCAGAGTCCTCTTCATAAGCTCTTTGTGACAAATGAGCGCGCGGGGGGATTGCTGCTGTGGTGGTCGTCGGAGAAAACACAGCTTTGTCAATATTGTCTTAAAGATCTTATACTGTATACGGTGTTATTTAACTGCAAAAGCACAAACTATATGCTTTCTCTTTTTCCTCTCAAACAGAACACATAGACGCGCACATACACAGATACTGGGGGTGATTAGACAGCCACATGAAGGCTCTCCTGGGGGGGTAAACATCCCTCCACCGTGCAGAGACGCCACCTCCACCTGCACAACTACTCTAATCCCCTAATGCGATTCTGCAGTATGTTCCCCTGCAGGAGGTGGGAGAGGAATACAATCGATTTTTTTCTTGATTTAGCTGCAGCATAAACACAACAAATATTAAAAAGTCGGTTAATATCTCATTTTGCTTTTTCAATTATTAAAAAAGGGTTTTGGCAGGAAGTTGAGCCCCATTTAATAGCACAAGAATGCAATGTAATGCCTATTTCACTACCATACAGGCCAACATATAGGACTGTAAGTATGTTTGTAAGTTAGTAATTTATTATTATATAACTTTCTCAATTCCCGGGAGGAAATATTAATAACTCCCCATTATAAAATATAAAAATTAGTAGGAACTAGTTAGCTTGCTTTCACAGATAGATGTAGGCCTGGTTGAGAGATCTGAATATCTCCAGCAGCAGCTGTTCAGAGGCATTACCCCAAGATGTCTGTCTGTGAGGCTGGTGTCCCTAAAAGACTTGTTGTTATTTCACTGGATTAACCATGCACCTTCTGTTGCTTTAGTTATCTCTGACATGTGGTCAAATGTATTCAAAAAAGAAAAATATCACATTGTATAAAAGTACTCAACATCTATATACATGAAAACACACAAAAAGCTTACTGCCATGAGACATGAAACGGGGACTTGTATAAATGTGTTGTCATGAGTTATGGGAAAGAGTAGAGATTATATTGAACTCTTTGACTCTCTAATGGGCTAATGATACAGTATATAACCTCTCACCGATACAAAAAAGTCCTTCAACCTTTTCCTGTGTTGTGAAATGTTACAGTAATGTCAAACTTTTATCTTTTTAATCTGTGTATAGTCGACAAACAATGCATCTGATTCAACTCTTTTTATTGCTCTTCTCGAGAGCTGTTTCAGTACTTCCGCTTTCAGAAACGTGCACTTCCTGTTAGATCTGTGCACTGCTAGAAAAAATACACACACTTCCCTTTTTTCTGCCGACCTTCAATCATTTCCTCCACGATATGCTAACACACACGTATTGTTCTTTTCAGAAGTCATGTCAGCCCGATTCATACAAATGTTTTCACTTTGAACAACTGCTGCCCTTTCAGAATATGAGGGTAAACAAAAACTATATTCGAACGGTCCGGAAGGAACACGTGAGTCGCCGCCCATTCCTGAGGTCAGGGAGAGCTGGGGGGTGAAGTGTGTTATGGGAAAGCGTGATATGACCTGCCCAGGCTAAGCAATTCCATTACAAACGCACACTGGAGTTTACAACAGGAGCTGGTGCTGACACCCTCCAGGACCCACCGGGCGATAAAGCCACCCTCCGGGAAGCCTTCTAAAATTACTCCGACCTTCTCACTCCTTGTGGGGTGGGTGACTCAGTCAGCCTGCTGCCATTCCCACTAACCATCACTGTGTTCATAGTGTGAGCCTTAAAGGGACAGTCAACCCTAAAATGTAAAATATGTATTTTCCCTTTATCCCTAGTGCTATTTATTTATCAATGCAGATGTGTTTAGTGTAGCTGCAGAGTGTTGGATATATTGGTATAGTGCTAAAAGCAGCCAAACTATGAATTGTAAAAACTTAACAACAATGTATTTTTTTCAATAATCATAATCCGGTTACTCAAAATAATCCTCAAACCTTGTTGTCAGAAGTTACCTGCAGGAACTATTTTCTTTCTACCAAACTATACCTGCATCTACTTATGGATAAGAGCCTAGTCTGCGCTTGTGAGTCGGTGATGTTCAGTAAAAAAAAATGTTTCCTACATGAAAGTGCTCAAAACAAGGTATGTGGATTATCTCGACTAACCAGGTCATTTTCTCTGGAAAGAGACATTTCTGTTGAGTTTCAAATGTATTGTTGGGCTCACCATCTAGTTCCATTATATTAGAGAGAAGGCAGATATTTATATGTCCCAACTTCTCCAATAACACTCAGCAACTCACACTCAAACAATCTGTGATGAGATATAGCACTACAGGTAAGAAGGAAAAATACATATATTTCAATTTGGGGAGAACTGTCCCTTTAACCCTCGTCTTTCCATTCTACTCCTTACATCACGTGCAAAGAAAACGACAATCTGCCTCCAGCATAGATTGCAGGGAAGTGCGCAGGGAGCTACTGCAGTTTCCATGCTACTGCCAACACTGCTTTAGGTGTCTCGCTTACATCTGTCAGAGGGGGGAGGGGGGTGAGAGGGGGACTGATGTGAGTTAATATGAAGAGGGACAAGATGGAGAGACAGGAACTGTGGATTCATAGTTATGTGCTACAGAAGCATGCTAAAGAAGCAAATAGGCTGAGCACTGTATGGGCGAAGTTGAAAGGCCTAATGTGTATCAAATGTTTCTAAAATAAAGTTATAATTGGCCTATGTAAGTATTTTTTTCAAATTGAGGTCACAATGACAACATTTTTATATATTCAGTAACTCCTAATAGAGTTGTATCCCCTGCTTTCTGACGGTAGGCATTTATGGCCTTCAAATCTAAAGGATGTTTTTTATACTTTTATTTATGCCTTTGTTTGACTACACCCATACAGTGTAGCAGGTTCAGAGCTCAGATACACACGCATGCACAAAGCTTGCCAGACACACGCACACACACACACTTACCCCTCGCCTCAGGCTCCGGAGGCAGTGCATTTTAGGTTTGGAGTTCATGAAGTCGTTGAGGCGGTGGGAGAGGGGCTCCTTTTGCTGCTTGGGAGACTGGGGGTCGTTGGGAACAGCAGAGGGTGAGGGCGGGGATGAGGCTGGGGGGGCAGGTGGGGGCTGGTGGGGGGATGTTAACAGGGACATAAGCTACCAGTAAGAGAAGGAGCGGTGACGGGGGAGAGGAGGAAAAACATAGAAGAAGAAGAAGAAGAAGGGGGCAAGATTTCAATGGAAAAAAGACAAAAGAGGAAAAGGAGGAGGGAACACAAAACGAAATAAATAAGCCTCCTACAAATATTAAAAAATAAACACATAATAGAAAACTCAAACAGAAATTAAATGACAACCGAAGGTACGTCAAACCCAGTGTATCAGTTGTTATGTCATGGAACAAAATGTCAAACATATATAAAACAGTTAAAAAAGAGAAAAACCACCAGAGGGGGTTAAGGAAGCGCCAAATGTGTTAAAGCGGGCGGCTGCAACAAAGCACAGAGCTTCAGTCAAAGCGCATGCAGGCTTCCATTTTCGAAATCCTTTCCCGACCTCATCACATGCCAGCAGAGAAATTCACCACATCCCCAAAGATATGAATTTGAGGTTATCATCAGAGAAATCCAATTGCTTATCGCTGTCCTAAAGCATCTGACTGCATGATTCATCAAGTAGTGGAGTGTCACAAGAAGCAGAGAGGAGACACCAATCGATGCACATGCAAGTGAGTCAGGAACCCTGCTACGAAGAAAGTAGCCTGAACAAACCCTGATTCTGTACAGCAGAAATGGTGCTTTGTATAGAAATACCTCTATGATGTTATATTTTTGCAAGTGTTTCTGTTATGCCATGCAAGTTTGCACAAACAGTAGGAACCTCTCATAGCTATCTGTGCTCCTAAAAACCTTGAGTAGAAAATGATTCCCAAGTATATCAAGCACCCATGAGCAGTGTTTTTAAGACACCCTTTTCTGCACACATACAGGCAGTTTGCTGTAGTTTCTCATCTAGAATGACACACTTGCTCCCAGCCTTTCTCTCCCACAGACGCACACACACACACACACACACACACACACACACACACACACACACACACACACACACACACCACACACACACACACACACACACACACACACACACACACACACACACACACACACACACACACACACACACACACACACACACACACACACACACACACACACACACACACACCACACACACACACACACACACACACACACACACACACACACACACAATCACTCACTTATGGTCTGATCTAATTCAATACTGACATTGCCACCAGCCCATAAGACAGTCAGAGATCAGTTTTGCTGTTCTGCAGCAGGAAACTGAAGGAAGGCTATAGACATGGTCTCCAGTCAAGAGAAAAACTGTGTTATTTCAGATCGAGCTATCAACTGCCAGTTGAGTCCGACCGCAGGGTGACAGTAGAAATGCATTAGTGTGTGTTACAGAAGGAAGTTTCCAATAAATCAGGGAGGGTGGGTGGTTGCCAGGGAGGGGGAAACGGGTGGCAAATAATAACAAGGCAAATGCTAATGCTAACAAGAGCTAGCAACATAATTGTTGAGCTTTACAAAAATGAAAGAATCTACTCCACAATGAAACTAAATAAAATAAGTAAAGATTTTACAGATAATACAAATGTCACATTAAACACTTTACGAGACAGAAACAATATAACATAATACAACATAGCCCCCCACCCAACAGATATCTCTCCATCGTGACCTCCAGATGAGGAAAGTATGCACTAAAAACCAGCGATGCTCTGCTGTAAGGTGTGTGTAGATGTAAGTTGGTGTTGAGTGTGCATTCATGTGTTACCTTGTTCTTGTTCTTAATGAAAGGCCACAGTTTGCCCTTGCTCTTGCCCCCGGTCCTCTCCTTGACCTCTTTGGAATTGGACAGGCTGGTCTCGGACACCGTCCTCTTCATGGCCTGGCCGTAGTCCTCAAACTCCACATCGCCCGGAGCCTCAAACCCTGACTTGTAGGACTCCACCACCTGCTGCGAGTCCTGATGGGGGAGAGAGGATGCACCAATCAGTGACGGCCTTTCCCTTTATACAGTTGTATTCACTTTCAAGATCCCCTATTATACTGTTTTTCATCAATATATTATAGGTCTCAGATACAAAACATGTCTCTGAAGTGTTTGGCTCGAAATACCAAACAGATCATGCATTGCAGCATTACCCATAATCCCCTCTGTTTCAGCCCTGTTTCAAAAGTGCTGATTCTCAGTCTGTTACTTTAGATGAAAATAAGGAGCCACTCCCCACGCCCCTTTTGACCCTTTCACACCAAGGCTTTTCCCGTTCTAGCTCCGTGCTAGAGCTTTTCTGGTTCGGAACGGGTTCTTCGGTTCAGCTTCTGCTCTGTTCACACCACTCAGAGCCCGACTTGTGCTGCGTCATTGCATTATCGTTTGCGTCATGACGTAACCGTTTGCGTGCCTGCTTCATAAAGCCAAACCGCCACTCCGTCCGAGGTCTCGCTTTTGGTCCCGATAATCCTTCTTGACTTTTTTCAATTTGTTGCCAATCTGTTCAACGGTACGGTCAAAACCAGCGGTTGCCATCTCTTACTGCAATTGTTGTAGAATTGCTTTGGACCGCGTGCTCCCCTCCAGCTTCCTCTGTACCTCTTCGGAAGACCAGATTCCCAGTAGGTAGCTGGTCTCTTCAGTGGACCACTGCTGCTTGTTAAGTTTTAGGTTTTCCATTGTTGTGTACAAACTGGATACAACGCGGGCTTTTTGTTGTTGTTAGAGGTTGATCCCGCCCCTGCCCCCGACGTAAGCGTGACGTATGCGGTGCTTGCTTTCTAGACCGACAACTTTTTGGTGCTTGAAACAAACCGGAATCCGGAGCTTAGAGGCGGCTCCGCTGCGGTGTGAACAGGAAGAACCGGTGCTTTTCAAACTCCAGCTCCGAACCGGCCCTGGAACCGCGTTGGTGTGAAAGGGGCATCTGAGAGATATTTGGTTAAAAATAACACAATGGTGCTCTTGGAGGAGATTCAGGTGATAAGGTGGGGGGGGTTACCTTGGTTGGTGATTGGCTAATGGTTACACAAGCCAAAAAAATCGTTATGACATCATAAAGTGGCAGGTTGACAGGTTTTTATAAAAATGGATCAGGACAAAAAGTGATCGAATCTTTTGTCCTGAAACTTTCAGACTCTCTTTACACAGAGGGGACACATGTTTACGTATAAAAGATATGAAAAGGTGGATTTTGCATAATAGGTGACCTTTAAAGGAGACATATGGTGCTCATTTTCAGGGTGCTAGAATTGTTGGGATCTGTGTATTTGGGGTTTCTAATATAAAATGTGAACATGCTTACATGTTCATAAATCCCATTGTTTGTTGTCATACTATCTTTTTCCGGGTTTCCATGTCTGCTCTCTCTGTGTCTGTGCATCATCATTGCAGAATTACTGTAACAGGACAGTAGTGTCACTTTTGACCTATTTACTAAACTGTGTAACAAAGTTGTGAATTTAAGTCCTGATGGCATGTGTAAAGGCACATTTTTTCGAGTACGGACTTTTACAGTTCCCAGTGGATTGAGTGTTTTGATAATTTCAAAAAGGACATGAAAATGTAGGGCCTTTAATTTTAAACATCAATGGAACAATCACAACATTCAAAGCCATGACCAACAAAGCAGGGTCTCTGTTTGTACAGATTGTCCAGCTTATCAGCAGGTCTGCAGCACAATGGTGATCCTCCTGTTTATATGTTTTTCATTTCTCTGAAAACAGTTCATGAATGTGTCATAAAAGCAGAGGGAGAGAAGGAGACTGCTGATATCCAGTTGTTGGGCCACAGAAGAAAGAGGGAAAGACCTAAATCTGTCAGGCAGGAGTTATGACAGAAACACTGAGGTCGGGACACAGCCAGGCTCCTCTCACACAGGAAGAAGGACATTAATCAAGTGCAGTGTGCATCAGCCTCGATGAACCGATAACACACTGAGGGTCTGGTTTGGAGTGAGGTCAGGGGTCAGAGATTGTGCACTATGGCCATGAGAGAAGACTACGAGAGGAAGAGAGACAGAGACAGGGAGAGAACATGTGATGTGTTGCAGACTGGAGTCATCTCTCTCACACACACACACACACACACACACACACACACACACACACACACACACACACACACACACACACACACACACACACACACACACACACACACACACACACACACACACACACACACACACACACACACACACACACACACACACACACACACACACACCACAACACACACACACACACACACACACACACACACACACACACACACACACACACACACCACTTCCCTCGAGGGATTTAGTCTTTAACGCAGACAAACACTGCCTTCAATTTCAATTTCCAAATAAACAATAATTAGCCATGGGACAGTGTCAGCCAAAACGGCTTATTAGCTGCAACGTTTTCCAAAGTGTGATCTGCAAATGCAACTGTCTCACACTACAGTGAGCACAATAGAGTGCCACAGTGACGCGTCCTAAAACCCGGAAGTTCCTTCGACAAAAACGCAATGCAATCTCTCCATAGGATTTTTGAAAATAGCTGGAAATAAGGTCTGTGGTTGAAACACATTTAAGAGACGGATTTTATACTTTTATAATCATAAATCTAGTCGCCAGAAGCAAAATGCTAACGTTATGCTATAAAGGAACTACAGCAGGGTCGCTGCTTCAACGTCACGCCAACTTCAGATCCATATTCAAAAATACAGATTCAAAATTGTACAAGTTGAAGCGTTTGTTTGAACAGTTTGCAGGAGGCAGGTACTTGCTTTCAAGCAGAACAGGGCAAACAAACTTAGCGGGAGTGTTTACGTGTTCGGCGTAATGACGTACAACGGCCTGGACAACTTCTGTAGTCCTATTCAGCCACTTGTATAGGACCATCGTTTTTCAGACACGTCAACTCTTCAGAAATCACCAGTGGGGTCACTGCTGATGGATTTAATGTCGTAGAACAAAACGTAATCCGTCTCTTCAATGTGTCTCAACCACAGACCTTATTTCCAGATATTTTCCCAAACCCTATGGAGAAATCCCATTGGCTCTGAGACCAGGGAACAGGTAGTGGTAAAATGCTAACTCACTTCCGGGTTTTAGGACGCGTCACTGTGGCACTCCATATCCACTTAATATGCAATACTAAAAAAGCTACAGTATGATGCATGAACAAGTTCAGTTTTCTAAAAATATATTAGAGAAATTATGCTTTTTCTCTCTCAGGAAGTCCTTATGAACGTTATTCCAGTAAGAAATGCAGCATATAACCTTAACCCTAACCCTTTGGCCTAGTTTTGTTTAAAATTGTCTAAAACAAAAAGTTGGAGTCTATAAGAAGCAAAGAAAGTTTACTGTCTTCTATTTATAGAGCAGGTAAAAATAAACAGTTCATCTTTTGGAGAAATAACTAATTATTCTGGAACATATTAAGATGAGAAGACTAATACTGTTCTCATCTCTGTTCAATAAATACAAGGCTACATAAAGAATTTTGTTAATTTTTGGCAGAGCCAGGCTAACTGTTTCCCCTTAATATCAGTGACTATGCTAAGCTAACCTGCAGCTGGCAGTAGCTTCATATTATGAGGCAGACACAACATCAATCTTCTCATCAAACTCTGTCCCCCCATAACAAATCAAACTATTACTTTAAATGCAATGGACCGTAACCCTGCCTCCTCTGCCACCACTCTGTAAGCACTTTGTTGTTCACAGGTGGGCTGTTTGTATTTTTTAAAAAGGCCCCCAAAGAGTACCAACCCTCCCGCATTTGTTGCTTAAATGACAGCCTAATCGGCCGTGTGTGGGCTGTGACTGACACACAGGCTGAGTGAGTAATACGTCCCAGATGGTGGTGTGTGTGTATGTGTGTGTGTGTGTGTGTGTGTGTGTACATATATTTCATCACTGTGTACTCACAGTCTTGGGCTCGATGGACTCGGCGGCTTTCGTCATGCCGTCTAAACATTTCCCCACGATGGGCAGCACTTGGCGGTCCACGTCTGCAAACGTCTTCATGCACACTGCTACCCTGTCAATTCGTTTCTCCTCCATGTCTTGAAGTTTCTGTATGATAAAAAGCAGGCATTTTAATACATAAATACAAGATGTATTAGCTTGGGTTATAAAATGATTGAGAGATGGGAAGAGCTTCAAAATGAAACACAGCCAGTTTGGATTTAAACTGGGCTGCCTTTTGACATTGAGCATCAAAGATTTGACATCTGGGAAATCTCTGATGCACTTTCATTTTTCTAAATGTTTGACCCTATTTTGAAAATGAAGCATCAGAGAAGTGAAAAAAGATTTTAAACAAACAAATTAGCACACAAAATAGCTTTTACTGCACTCGTCATCATGATGTGTGTTTCCCACATGTTTGGAATGTATTTTTAGTAGTCGACCCAGAGGGGAGGGGGGGGTGGTGGGCTGCAAACATAATTGGATTCATAAGCTCACTAATGATCGCACATGAATGCAGTCTTTTTAATGTGAGTACTCTGCACTTTCAAATGCATTTTCATACAGAATTTTAAAAGAGTTTTGTGCTAATGCGCTCTCATAACATGTATTTCAGACTATTGTAACGAAGCAACATCCAAAACACACATTTAGGTTCTAATGCTACTAACTTTGAGTTTTTGAGCCTGCAGATTTCTTCTAAGTTCACTGAAATGTACTATTATATAATGATTAATTTGCTTATTTAAACATTTAATTTCAGAAAATATGAATATCATAGTGATACAAATTATTTACGCCATTCACCTGTAGTTTATTGCAAAGTAATTAGAATTTTACAATTAATGTATTTGAGCTTTTTTGTTTTGTTTTTATATAATTATTCACCCAAATACATTCCCATCTATTTAATATAGGGTTTTTATTATCATATATCATTCACAGCCTGATTTATAAAACATGATAGATAAACAGATGCACTCTGTGGTTGAGTCCAGTTTTCATCACTTGAGGTTCCTGTCCAAAATTAAACTGGTTTTATCCTTTTTAGACTTTGAGCGTGTAATTCATGCCTTTGTTTCTATTCGTTTAGATTACTGTAATGCACTTTATCCCGGCCTAAACCAGACTTTGCTGGCCCGCCTGCAGCTGGTACAAAACGCTGCGGCTCGTCTGCTTACAGGAACCCGCAAGTATGACCACATCACACCAATTCTGGCTTCCCTCCACTGACTTCCTGTCCATTTTAGAATTAATTTTAAGATTGTATTGTTTGTTTTTGAATCACTTAATGGGCTGGCCCCTCAGTACATCTCTGACCTCCTACAGGTGTACACCGCCTCAAGGGCTTTGATGTCGGCTGATCAGCTGCGGCTGGTAATCCCTAAAAAAGGAAAAAGACCAGGGGAGAGCGAGCCTTCTCAGCGGTAGCCCCCAGGCTCTGGAACGACCTGCCCCCCCATGTCAAATTGTCGCCCACTCTCCAAACTTTTAAGGCCCGCCTATAGACCCACCTCTTTTCCCTCGCTTTCGAGTCAGTCTGAGCTACTGTATGCTCTACCTATTTTATGCTTTTATTGTCTGTCCATAGCCTTTATGTGCCTTGTATTTATTCTTATGTGTGCCTTTTATCTATTCTTATAATGTTATGTTCATTGTGAAGCACTTTGGCAAACCCTCTGTTTTTAAAATGTGCTATATGAATAAAGTGGATTGGATGCAAGAGTTTTTGAACCTAACTTTACCCAATGTTCAGATTTTTCAGTCAACAACAAATCAGATGAAATGTAGTGCTGTCACATTTACCTGGAATATGTTGGGGATAACTGTGAAGTAATGTTCATTCTGCTCCTGATTGAACTTCTGCAGGTAGGCGGAGTAATCGCTCTTACTGTCAGAAGCCATCTGGTGCCTCATCTGAGCTTGCTGTCGTGCCTGAGGAAAAAAACAAACACAGAAACATGCTCATCAGAAACACGGCAAACCTCAGTGTCCCCTGATCAACACGGACATATGACACACACACACACACACACAACACACACACACACACACACACACACACACACACCACACACACACACACACACACACACACACACACACACACACACACACACACACACACACACACACACACACACACACACGAACCACATTATTTGACACATTTGTGCATGGGAGTGTTCATGCATGTACGTGTATACGTATAAACATAAAGCTCGTGGACACAAGGTCACAGGTGCAATTCGAAATCAACAGCCATTAGCATTTGTTTTCAGTCAGTGTTTGACCACATACACAAAAAGAACTGCAACAGCCCTGCACAGGCTGCAGAATGAGGGGATTTGGATTTTGATTGCCCGCCCAGTCTGGCGTATCTCTACTGTCGATAATGTTGATTATTTTAAGCTAGTTCAGTCTCAGGCAGGCAGTCAGAAACGCAGCAGGAGCAGCCTATTACAGATCCAATGCAAGCAGATGGAGATGAGATTATCTCAGCTAGACAGCATGTGTGTGTGTGTGTGTGTGTGTGTGTGTGTGTGTGTGTGTGTGTGTGTGTGTGTGTGTGTGTGTGTGTGTGTGTGTGTGTGTGTGTGTGTGTGTGTGTGTGTGTGTGTGTGTGTGTGTGTGTGTGTGTGTGTGTGTGTGTGTGTGTGTAGCTAAGTACTCTGTTTCCTCTTTCCATCAGTGGTGTCATTGGGTCATCTATAACAAAGAGTCACTATAACCCTGTTATGTCAAACTCCTGAGGGAAATATTACAAGGATCCAGTTTTTACCCACGCACTGATCTGAGACGAGAGTAAAGACTCTCACACTCACACATATGGGTTAGTAACAGACGACATACTAAAAGAAAAGGAGGACATCAGAGTGGAGACACTCGTCAGACACAATGGTACATTATTTTCCGGCGCAGGAGGGGTGACAGTTAATACCTCGGGTGGAAAATGATATTCAGTCTTAAGAAACAAAAAAAGGAATGTGAAACCCAGAGAAAAGCTAAAAAGCACATGTGAAAGTCCAGCTGTTTAAGTGTGCATGCATTGTGGGATGTGTGTAGTGCTGCTTTAGGTGCATGCAAAGTGGTGCCCAATGTGTTGAGAAATGATGTGGGTAAACACAATCACCATAGCAACATGGCAAACTTCGTAACTGCTGTCTCTGCAGCAACATCACATCCTGTTGTCAGTCTCTGGAAATTACCCTTTTGTTACTCACACACATGTGCATGTGTGAATCCGTGTACATGTCCACCTTCGCACATATTTATCACCAGTATTTATCTTTAAACCTAAGGTAAATATTATGATATCAGGAAAATATGGGCTGTTTAAAACCTCAATTCTGATACTACCTGCCTTTCTGCTGCTTTCATGTTACGACTCAAATTAAACAAATTGCTTTTTAAATAGAAAAACACTTGAGGGATTCCTCTTGTTGAACAAATGTAACATTGCACTGAACACTAAGGGTACCAACAAAACTAAACTCCCTTTAAAGGTCACCTATTATGCAAAATGCACTTCGTCATGTCTCTTCTACATCAACATGTGTCCCCTCTTCTTCATGTCTCTTCTACATCAACATGTGTCCCCTCTTCTTCATGTCTCTTCTACATCAACATGTGTCCCCTCTTCTTCATGTCTCTTCTACATCAACATGTGTCCCCTCTTCTTCATGTCTCTTCTACATCAACATGTGTCCCCTCTTCTTCATGTCTCTTCTACATCAATATGTGTCCCCTCTTCTTCATATCTCTTTTACATCAACATGTGTCCCCTCTTCTTCATATCTCTTCTACATCAACATATGTCCCCTCTTCTTCATGTCTCTTCTACATCAATATGTGTCCCCTCTTCTTCATATCTCTTTTACATCAACATGTGTCCCCTCTTCTTCATGTCTCTTCTACATCAATATGTGTCCCCTCTTCTTCATGTCTCTTTTACATCAACATGTGTCCCCTCTTCTTCATGTCTCTTCTACATCAACATGTGTCCCCTCTTCTTCATGTCCTCTTTTACATCAACATGTGTCCCCTCTTCTTCATGTCTCTTCTACATCAACATGTGTCCCCTCTTCTTCATGTCTCTTTTACATCAACATGTGTCCCCTCTTCTTCATGTCTCTTCTACATCAACATGTGTCCCCTCTTCTTCATGTCTCTTTTACATCAACATGTGTCCCCTCTTCTTCATGTCTCTTCTACATCAACATGTGTCCCCTCTTCTTCATGTCTCTTTTACATCAACATGTGTCCCCTCTTCTTCATGTCTCTTCTACATCAACATGTGTCCCCTCTTCTTCATGTCTCTTTTACATCAACATGTGTCCCCTCTTCTTCATGTCTCTTCTACATCAACATGTGTCCCCTCTTCTTCATGTCTCTTCTACATCAACATGTGTCCCCTCTGTGGAAAGATACTCTGAAAGTTTCAGGAACAATGATTCTCTCTCTTTTTGATCCATTTCTATAAAAACCTGTCTGAAAATGAGCTGATCAGATTTTGGCCACTTTATGATGTCATAACGATTTATTTGGCTTGTGTAACCATTAGCCAATCAGCAACCAAAGTAACCCCCCCCCCCCCCCACACACACCTTATCCCCTGAATCGCCTCCTAGAGCACCATTGAGTTCTTTTTAACCAAATGTCTCTCAGAGGGGCGTGGGGAGGGGCTCCTTATTTTCATCTAAAGTAACAGACAGAGAATCAGCACTTTTGAAACAGGGCTGAAACAGAGGGGATTATGGGATGCTGCAATGATCTGTTTGGTATTTGGAGCCAAACATTTCAGAGACATGTTTGTGTATATCTGAGACCTATAATATATTGATGAAAAACAGTATATTAGGGGACTTTTAAAGGGGCTTTATTCTGCTGATGTTCAGGTGTATATCAGTATGTAGTGTCTCTACTTTAAAGAGTCCTCTCCTGCTGATGTTCAGGTGTATATCAGTATGTAGTGTCTCTACTTTAAAGAGTCCTCTCCTGCTGATGTTCAGGTGTATATCAATATGTAGTGTCTCTACTTTAAAGAGTCCTCTCCTGCTGATGTTCAGGTGTATATCAGTATGTAGTGTCTCTACTTTAAAGAGTCCTCTCCTGCTGATGTTCAGGTGTATATCAGTATGTAGTGTCTCTACTTTAAAGAGTCCTCTCCTGCTGATGTTCAGGTGTATATCAGTATGTAGTGTCTCTACTTTAAAGAGTCCTCTCCTGCTGATGTTCAGGTGTATATCAGTATGTAGTGTCTCTACTTTAAAGAGTCCTCTCCTGCTGATGTTCAGGTGTATATCAGTATGTAGTGTCTCTACTTTAAAGAGTCCTCTCCTGCTGATGTTCAGGTGTATATATATATCAGTATGTAGTGTCTCTACTGGGACATGTTTCCATGCTTTAATGTTCAAAAAGCTCTTTATTTTTCTCATACTGCCTGTGCTGCAGCACCTCTTTTCACCCTCTGTCTGAAACCAGAGCCCAGTCTGCTCTGATTGGTTAGCTGGCCGGCTCTGTTGTGATTGGTCAACTGCTTAGAGATCAGGTACAACATGTTGGAGCGCTAGCCAATACAAAGTGTGAGTTTTCCATAGTGATGTCATTATGTTAGAGAAGTAAACAAAGGAGTCCAATGGAGGTGTTTCAGTAAGGGAGAGAACCCCCCTCTGGAGGGAACACAGGGATTTTAGCCTTTGCAGACCATACATGCACAAACACCTATACTACAACTACAGGAAAGGGAAAACCCCAAAAAGCCTAATAGGGCCTCTTTAACAAAAGAAAGATTGTTGAGAACGGTATCGCAGTCTCTCTAATATGTTTATCGCGCAACGGGAGGATAAAAACTATATATGATGGAGCCCTGGTCTACCTTTCTGAGAATATTTGAAATTAATGTTTTTGTAAAAGCCTTCTCTCTTTTCTCCTTGCACCGTCCACACATATAAACCTCAGGGTTAGAACGTGTTCAGCAGCAGACAACGAGACAAGCCACTGTACAGAACATGGAGCCGATCACAGTCAGACAGGACGGAGCGAGGTCACAGCGACCCGGACCAGGTCATCGTGTCAAACTCCAAGGGAAGGCATGTGTGTGTGTCGAGACAATAGTCGAGACAGTGTGTGTTCCCACAGATATAACAGGCTCTCCAAACGCTGAACCTACCTTGTGGGAACTTCGCTTCAAGGCATTGCATAAAATAGATAAGCAAAAACACACAAACAAAACAAAAAAGAAGGATTGTTAGCCGTTTCCAGCTAAACAACAGGTTGCCATAGATGCACTTCCTGGCGTGTCATCACTCAAAATGGGAAGTTGGTACAAACAAGTTGAAGAGGAGTGCAGAAGTTGTATTGTTTGCGATGCTATAATATGACTCAGGATCTCCAAGTCTGCGAGTGTGTGTGAGGGCGGGGGTGGGGGGGGTCCCTCAAATAACTGTTAACAGTGTGTGGGTATCTGGGCTTCAAATCCAAAACCCCAAATTGAGGGGTTTGTTTGCCAGAGGAGGAGTGGGAACAGTTCGAGGTTTGCTCCAGCTGCGGGAAAACCACAAGACCTCAGCTCAACAAACTAATGGGGAGACATCGCACAGACAAAAGCAACTCCTGGAGTCAAATATATTTATATTGTTTCTGACAAGTAACTTAGCCTAGTCCTCACTAGTATCAAAGGGATCTGAAAGTGGCCTTAAGACGCAGAAGACCAATGTTAACAGACATAAATACACACATAACTAAAACAAACTATGCCTGTTATTTATTTTCTTCCTCGCCTATCATGCATATTTTTTGTCTGACCCAAACCTACTTTCACCACAAGACTCCAACTATGACACAAACACAAATAAGGCTGGGGTTGTGACATGTCATTCCTTCGGGGGATAAATACTCAGAGATCCTCTAAATATTGAAGGGAAAATGCCACAGAAAATAACACTGAGACACATGATTGGCTCTCACCAAAACATAACTTCACTGTCACCCTAACATAGCAGATGCAGCGTAACGATAGAATAGTAGTGCTGCTTTTATATGCTATTTGCAATTGAGCTAAATAACCTTTACCACTAAGGATGTGGAGAAGTCACGAGGCGTCACTTGAGTGTCTAAACCACAGACTGACCCAAAACACAAACTTCCTTTCTCTTTTTTTCAAACATCCGCATATTCTCTCGCCCTTTCTAGACTCTAGTTAGAAAGATCACAGGTATTAAAAATAATCCCACAGATACAATACACCAATAAAGGACATGAGAGAAGAATTGAAAAGGAACACGTGGGAGAAAGATCTTCCACGCTGACAGATGTGACAGTCTTTTGTATTCATTTGACATTTCTGGAGAATGGAAATGGGAGTAGGTGAAAAACTGACTTGGGTCAAACGACCCACACAGAAAGGAAAAGCAAATGAGAAAGCGATTATTTGTTGCAAGGATCTACACAATGGTAAGCAAGACGATATACAAAACGGCATGTTTGTTTTATCTTTTGAGGTATGTGGGATCGTTTGCCACAGCTTCTTAATTACATGATTCAGGAGGTTTAAAGGGGTTTTAGGTCTGCTAAAAAGCATTGTGTTTGAGCCCATTAAATACATTTCTCATATAGTTTCCATTGCTGCCTACTGTTTTCTGATGCATATTAAAAAGGGTTTAGATGTATTTCCTACTTTCATGGTTACTCTACCACCTTCAGATACAGTTATAGAGAGAAATACACTTACATTTGATATAAACAATTGCAATTTGAGTTATTTTTCCAGTGCAAGGTTATTCTGACCAGTAGTTAGAACAGGGGTGTCTAACTCAATTTCATCACGGGTCACATTCGCATAAAGGTTGCACTCAAAGGGCCGGTTGTAACTATATAAATATATATAAAATAATGTATTATATTACATTATTGCCTCTGAATTGGATTATTATCGGATAGGATAATAACTTAGTAATTAACTACGTCTGAAAGCAGAAGTCCAGGGCAAATAATTGCAAGTCTCTTCATGTCACAAAACGAGATGCATTGTGGAACATGTAGTTTATGGGCAACCTGCTTCTGTCAAGTGGCATGTAACCGTATAATAAACTTATTATATTCTTTGCAAGCTCTTGCGGGGCCACATAAAATGAAGTCGCGGGCCGGATTTGAGTTTAAGACCCTTGAGTTAGAATGTCAACAATGGTGAGAATTAGAGCTTGATTGACACATACACTTCTTTCCTTTAAACAAAACATTAATGAATAAAAAAATATGCACACATGTTCAATTTGGTGCTTCTGCTAAATAATAAATACTTGTTTTGTATTAAATGAAGCATCTTTACATTTTAAGTGGTATGAAAAATAACTTAAAGCCAATTAAAAAGTTTCAAAGTTTAGCATTAGCACAGGCAACACTGAAGCTATGATCCTGCATGATGATTTGACTCCAGCATATTAAAGAGCTGTTTACATGATCACATTACACAAACAGTGATACTAACTGAGAGCAATAATACAGTACTGACTGCTGTGAGTCTTTCACGCTTCAATAAATGAAATAACTGTAATCAGACACAGCTCCTCTCTTGTTTTAGCGCTGGTTTCTGGAGCTGCTGTGCCGGCTCTTTCCAGTTGAGTTCAGTGTTCAGTGGCTGGAGCCTTTTGTAGCTTCTTGGCTGTATGTCCGGAGAGCAGAAAGGCTCTTTATTCCAGCCTATATTTGCATAATAATCGGGTCTGAACTGTGTCAACTCTGAGTCGGGGCTCTGCTCCAACAGCTGATGAAGCGGCAGGAGCACGCGCTGATGACCCATGATGCCTTGCGGGCGTGGGAGCCGTGTGGGTTAAAGGCTGAGATTTGACAGGGCTCTTTTAATTGGTTATGACAACAGGAAATGGAATCAGCTACAGGCCCAGGGGGCTCTGCGTCCACAAGTTCTGAATCGGATCATTGCTGCATCATGTGAGTGTGTGTAATCACAGAAAAACAAAACTATATATTCAGATTATTCACTGTAAAAAAGCCAAATAAAATGTGTGTAATCCACACACACATTAGAGCTGCAATGAGTAGTTCATTAACTAATAAGCCTATCAAAGGAATATAACCCACAACTGTTCTAAAAGACTGTTAATATATATATTTTTTTTTTTTAAACGATGATTTAAAGGGAAAGCCTTATACCTCCTATAAAATATGGGCGAAATTCCTAATTTATTTTGGAAAGGAACGAGATATGACCTTGTCTAATTAGTATGTGAGATATAATTGGACCAATTTATTGTCAAAACCTTTTGGAAATGTCATATGTCCATTTAAATAGTTTATCATTTATGTTGATTTAAATTATCTCTCTTTAGAATATGAATGTACTACTAATATCTGTATATTTCTGTACAGTATGTTCTTTATTTAAAATGTATTTTCTGTGTATTTATCCTATTATTATTCTTCTTTAGGCGATATACTGTACATAGTGTATGTGTCATGTCTTTTTCTGTTAGTTGCAGCCATAAAAACACAATAACACAAACAAGCACAAGCATGGACACAAAGTCCTCTCTGTTGCTTTGGCTTGGTTTCTGCTCTCCAGTGATAATGAGGACTGCTATCAGCTTTGTTTTGCAGGACATCACTGTGCTGCTGAGACAATGCCAGCCTTTACACACAGACCCTGGCATCAAACACACGGTCACTCAATCTTTCTGTCTTTCCAAGAGCGAGTCACGGCTTGGGATGCATGGAAGGGGGCACAAAATGTAAAAAAAACATGGCGAGAGAAAGGGGGAGGATGCTGGGTGGGGGGGGGCCAGGCAATCATGGTGAGCATGATGATAAAATGACAGGCTTGCGTGATTGGTGGCTGTAGAACAGGAGTGAGAGATGACACATACCTTTTCCACGTCAGCCTTAGTCACGTTAATGTCAGCATCCATCTTCTCAAAGTATTGCTGTGCTCTGTCCGCCTCTTTACAGTCCCTCTCAAACCTTCTTTTACACTGAAATAGAGCATAAGAAAGGCACAATGTAATAGAACACAGACATTAAACGTAAAATAAGTAATGTTCTAATCCAGAAAATGTAAAAATAAGGCTTGAACTTGATACAAAGTCGATTCATGACAGCTAAGACAATCACAACACTGTGCAAAGGGGATATGCAGCCATCACATGCGACCAAAGGAAAATGACCCTAATTAAATCTGGAGATTTTTTGAGAATTGTCAGAAACAACTCAACAAGCTATATAATATAGGTCTAGTCTTTTTAGACATTTTATAGCGGAAATGTTCCATATAATACCTGTGAGTCATTCATTTCCTGCTTTGAGCTGTAGGAGGAAACACTTTATAACCTGACCTTTTAATAAGCATAGTAATGACATCTTAACATGTTTCATATGCGTCATATAGATCTCACACACAGCATTGTCTGTGACAGAGGTCAGTTTATGCCATTGACACAGCGGTGGGGTCTGTCAAAGTGTGCAGCCTGCAGATTAAATAAATGTTCATAGTGGTCATTTGTGTACGGAAAACAAGCATTCATTCAACCCTCTTTCGACCCCTCCATCTGAACAATCAGTGTTTGTTGGGTCAGTGTGCACTCTGAACTATGCCTATCTGCCTCGCTCACAAAGGCATCATTGAAGAGAGAAAAGTTTGAGGAGGACAAGGCAGTTCTGCTTCTCTCTCACACTCTTTCTGTCTGTACCCTGTCAAAGTGGCCAGGCAGAGATAAGAAGAGGTGTTCTGTGCAATCTCTCTTTCAGCTGCTTCAATAAAACAAGTAAAACGGACAATCTAGGTCTAGGTCTTTGGCAAAGATAGGAATTATAACGTCATGTGTTTTAGTCTGGTCTACTGATCACTACTAGGCCACACAAGTGAAACTTACAATTCAGTTTCTACTTCAGTATTTTTCACAATGCGTCTGATTTTGAACCGACCAATTTGTGGTAGATCAGTCTTCTACCCTAAAAGACTTAAATGGTGCACTTAAACACACAAGTCTTGAACCAACATTAGTTATGTACCATAATTCAATCCTTATGTAACACTGTCCTGTGTATTATTAATATCAACATTTTGATTCAAATAAATAGCATATTGTAAGCGTTTTTTTGTGAAGATGGAACAAGTTGTCCCTCAGGGCTCTGTGCACGGCCCTCTGCTGATTTTCAGAAATGAATGTTTGCCACCCACTGACAATAAGCTTTTGATGATGATAATGTACTTTATAATAACTAAGCTCCTCATGAAATGTGTTGTGGTATCATGTGACATTGATGCTGATTGATCATAAGACTGTCAATATCAACAGAACATTTATAAACTATTTGATATGGTTTTTATTCATTTTCTGCAATAGTAGACCGATGCATATTTTGTATGATTTGATAAATAGCAGAAGCAACTAAAAGCACATAGCTAAAATTCTATGAAAAGTGTGTGTGTGCTGTTCATAATCAGAAAGTGACCTATAAAATACGTAATTTTAAGTCATAATTAAAGTTATGATACGATTGATAACTGGTTTTATCTTTGGAAAAATTACACCAATTTATTTTCTTTTTTTATAATTCAAGCTCATGAATGCTGTATTTTCATATTAAACGTTTTACTTCTCAACGTTCTCTAACGTTAACAAGCTTATCATCTTTAGCCAGCACTGACTGTCGCTTTCTCCGTATAAAATAATAACTTGATGGCGTTTGAAATAGTCGTATTGGAAAACCAAATTGCCCAGGTGCTTCAGTGATATATATAACTGCAAAAGTAAGTCACAAGGCAAGGGTTGCATTACTTTACTCGAGTTGTGTCTCCTTTGACTCTACTGTGATCAATGGCCACTGCTTCTAGTGAAGAACTGTACTGCACATTAATTGGGTCACTCACCGATTCCAGCTGTTTCCACGAGCTCTCGATGTGCTGCTGTGCCTTGCGCCCATCATGGAAGGACTGTCAGAAGAGATGAGAACAAATTATATTATCATACCATTCACAAGCGTAAGGGATTTAAAAGCAAGTGACCCTCACATAGTAAGGGTAATAAATTAGAAACGGTGGAGTGGGATTCTCAACCATAGCATTAAACACTATGCATATTACTCACACTGTGACAGAGAAGCATTCATGTAAGCTGAGAAAGTAGGGCAAATAGACATTATACTGTGGCTACATTAGAAATGATGGCCGCATAACCTACAAGCTTTACTCTCAGAGATTTGCACAAGACCAAGCATATGGCTATATGTTGATTTGATTGAAGAGCAGCCATATTATAACCCAACAGTTCAACACGAGTGCAAAAAAGGACATACTCTTACGATTTCAACATAGCACCAAAACTAACACCCAACTGAATGAAGGCTAGAGATGAATAAAAGAAGGTCAAACATAGTGTATTATATAATAATTTCACGAAATTACTAGTTCAAACCTGAATGCTATCTGCTGTTCAACAAAGAATATGTAAATTCTAGATACATATTGTTGGTTCACTGTTATCGAAACCTCTTCATCCACATTTCCTTATAATTCAGGAGGATTATTTTTGTAGTGAGAGGCATTTGTTTCTTTCAAAAGAGGCATTGTATTATAATTGAAGAGGCAGTCTGTCATTATGAAGGCACTTGTCAAAAATGTAAATATTAAAAAAATGTAAGTGATTGAGAACTGTTTCTCAGGCTTCTTCCTAATGAGCTGAATGAGCTTCTGACGATAGCTGCGCCACAGTAATGTAAGGATTGATTTGTGCACTGCAAAATGTGGCCTATTAGACTTACACAGCATATATGTGATTTTGTAAAAGACCTCACTTGGCCTGTCTCTCTCCAGGAGAGCAGAGCACTTGGCCCGGAGGCAGAGCACGCTCTCTACAGCTCTGTGAATGGACCAGAGCCAGACCTCCTGCACACATAATAGCAACTTTAAACCTGTTTGAAATAGATTGTGATTACTCATAAAGCATATAAAAAAAGTCCTCAAAGTCTGTGGTGTGTTAATATGCAAAAAATATCCAAAAGGAACCAAATGAAAATGTTACAGAGACCTGACTATCAATGAGGTTTCGCTGACTGCGGAAGCCAGGGTCAGTAGCTGAGCTGAATATCGATGCTGCAATTCAATAACGAAACCAGGCCAGTAAAACGAGCACAGAGGGCTTTGGCTTTTTCTTCTCTTGCATTCAGCACCTTAGTATTCTGTGTACTAACTCAAACACACTTAGCAAGAGATGTGAAATGAAGCAGAGGCATACAGATGAATCCATCCTGAACACTTCATGGGATGTGTTAGTCAGAACGTGCCCTGGTTTACCTCAGGTAGAAGCACTTCCCAAAGTTACAAGGGAAGCTGGGTAAAAAGGGGAAGTGCTTCAGTGTTTCAGAGGAAGTATTTCAACTGAAAATGGGACATTGTGGAGCCTCTAAAGTAGAACTGGTGTGTAATAAAGATGTTATACACTGCTTGACCTTCAAATTCCTGTTTGATAAGAAGAGTCTTATTCAGCGATGAAGATATGCCGATACGCTGAAGATACTATGAAGCTTTTTTAGGACACGCAGCAGCAGATTGGGTGATATCATTGTTACTGTTTGAATCAACCAAATATGTGTCTCCATAACAACAACATCATGCTGCCTGCATCAACAAATCCTCCATCTGTACAAAGATATACAAACTTTCCCCAAACAGCGTGATCGGATGTTACTGCTGCAGGATGAAGATGTACAGACCACAACAGAGGAACATGAGCTCATTCGCTATCAAACGAGATAAAAGAAAAACCGATGTATGTCTGTGACAAACAGCCATCTGGGAGGCAGGTATGAAATGCTGCAGGCTTTTAGGCAGATGTTCTGCAGTGTTGGCCTCTCTGTTTAAACCAATACACTGCAGGGATCCATACAGCTATTCTGTTCAGCACAAGAAAGATTAGATGCACCCAGTGTCTCTTTGTCCGTCTCAGTAACAGCATGTGACTGTTAAAGACATCTGGGGAACTAACAGGACCTGAAGCTGCCACTCTCACTTACACAGTGACAAGAGAGGAACAGCTCCAGTTACCAACACAAAAACACATCTGAGTAACAGTTACAAACTTAACTGCACTGTGATCAAAGCAGGACTGGAAAATATGATCATTATTCATCCAGAGACGTTAGGTCAGCCTGATTTAATATTTACTAAATGATGCTAAGCAGCGCTGCTCTGTGCTATGACTACATTGAACAAAATAAAGTCATTCTTCACGCTAGCCCCTGCTCCTTCGCACCTCCCAGCACAAGACTGTCTTCAGGTAACAAAACACAAAGGCAGGTAAGAATGAAGATACACAGACGTAGTTATGAACAAAGATATAGATCAATGTGTTTCTATGGACTTTTGTTTTTAGATTTAATAGATTGAATTCCAACAGAGAAAGTTAAGAGATGACTGGTTATTAATGTTTTCAAGTTCTCACAATAATCAGTATTATCACTGCGTGGTTAAAATGTCAACATTTTATAAAATGTTGTTCCCTCTGCAGTCTTACAATACCTCAAATATGAATATACTTTAAGTGTAGTGATTTTAGAAGGCAGAAACCCTCTACAGAGATCTGAGATTGCTACCAAATACCCTGAATTCTTGACAGTATTTTAGGGCTGTTTTCAGTTCTGCATGTATCCACAAATTAATGATATAATTATATACTTTGTAAAGGTTATTCATTTCGTAAAAACTTTTACTTTGTTTGGTTGTAAAACTGTAAACCACTTCCTCCAAAAAGTAGTCTATTCTTATTGTGTGTATGATGATGTCTTAACCATGAAATGAAGTGTCCAATGTCTGACTACTTTTTTGTACCATCTTTGCACCAGACATGCTCTGATGGGGCTGTGTGCCTCACAGGCTGTCCCCTCCACATATACACTCATTTATTAACTGTGTAATATGTTTGAGCAAAACATGACAGGAGAAGAAGGACGGGACATTTAACAAACATCCTCCACCACTGTCGGATCAATTAACCTACAGTATTTTCCTCTGAGTTACATTACGATTTATTTTCGCCAGAGGGAGGAATGTGGGATACTAGGTAAGTGAAGGTTGGGTAGGAGTTGATAGATGTGAGGGATGGTTAGTGTTTAATCAGTCAATGTTCTCAATACTATTGTAAAACCAATAAAAGGATTTGAGAAATTCCATTCTCTATTTTCCACACGAAATAGAGGAACGAAAACTTTGTCCAGGATTTCATTTCAGTGTTGCGTTTGTGAAGAGGTGCTCGTGGACATCTGTGTGCACACACACTCTCTTACACACTCTTCACTCATTCACTTGACTTGGCTCAGAGGAATGTGCACCTGCAGTCCTCTACAGTTGTCAACATACATATAATCATAAGGTACTAGAAATAGCCACAAGTCATACATGATGTATAGAGATGGTTGCACCTCAGGAGAGACTCCTCATGTTTAGACCATTAGGCAGTGGTTCGGAGCATTGCTGAGGTCATTTATACTAAAGTATTCAGGATGCAGATGTGAGTGCAGCTACTATGGAAATATCTAACGATCAATTCTCCTTCCCTTCTTTCTTTTTGTCTTTCTGCTGTGAGGCTTGTCCACAGTAACAGAGGCTTTGGTCTCTGCCTCTGAAGAGATAAATGAGGACAGTATGCCCTGCCAAACCCACCTAAAGATGTTTTATAGCACCTTGTAGTTTTCAGCTGACCTCTTGCTTACTTTCCAGACCCTGCCAGCTAAATAAGACATATTTTCAATCTTTCTTGCTGGTTGAACATGTCACATCTCAGCAGGATTAAGACCGATGGAACCAACCCCAAAAACCCAAAGATATCATTTGTGCTGTCGGTGCAAGTGGATCCAAAAGAGCACAAACTGAACCTAACCCTCATCTGGACACATGTCGAAATACGCAGTGAAGTATATTTCTCCTGAGGACATTTTATTCAGATTTTCAGATTCATATTTGTATGTATTGCCTCTACTAATGTCTCCATGCTTTAATGTTCAGAAAGCTCTTTATTCTTCTCATACTGCCTGTGCTGCAGCACCTCTTTTCACCCTCTGTCTGAAACCAGAGCCCAGTCTGCACTGATTGGTTAGCTGGCCTTCTCGTTGTGATTGGTCCACCACTTAGAGATGTCCCGCCCCTTTGCATATCACGTACAATGTGTTGGAGCGCTAGCCAATAGAAGTGCGAGTGTTACATAGTGATGTCATTATATTATAAAAGTAAACAAAGGAGTCCAATCAGAGGCCAGTATTCTGACCAAACACCTTTTTATGGAAAAAGATTTAACATAGATGAAGTTGTTTTTATACTTTTTAAATGCATAATGTTAGAAATGATATGTTTAAATCTAAAGAAGTACATATATTTTAACAACAAACTAAATCCAAAAGTTTAAAACAACAAGGTTCAACTTTTGCAAAAACAAGTACTGTTTATCTGCTCTCTTATAAATTCCTTTAAGAACATTCTTGGCCTCCTGTGCCACCCCAAGCTGAGCTTAGCAAGAGGTCCACTCAGGGAGTTACCAAACAACCCCACAGGAGAAACTAATGAGGTATTATTTCTCTTTCTCCTTCTGGTCTGTAGCGTGGATTTTACCTGTCCAATAAACTGGCGGACCCTCCTCTAATCCCACTGTCTGAGTCTGCCTGCACGGATTTGTCTGACATACACGCAAATATATATAAAAAAAACCTCAACAGCAAGTGCTGCTTAAAAATACATGTGATTGAAACCAGAGAAAAGAATGACGGGAAGCTGAGGAAGTCTTGGGTAAGGATTGATTTACAGACAACTTTCACAATATTGCTTTGTCTAATAACGTTATGAACAAAAATATGAAAAGCTTATTGTTGTCCGGGTACAGAGTAGCTAGGTTCTTTTGGCTTGGTTGCCTTTCAGACACTTGGAACATGTACAATAGTTTAAATCTCCATCATTCATGAGTGTGTTAAGGGCACTGATGTCTTTCAATGAACACTCAAAAAAGAAAAGAAAAGCTAATACACTACATTTACCCTACAAGGACACTATTCTGCATATGACTGAGAAACTATTTGCTCAATGCCCTTTGAGATGAAACAAGCTTCTGTTCAGAAAAGACACACAGTTATGCTATGAAGGGAAACTCCCCAGCACTGGCTAACTGGAAGCTTTTTCAATTCACGAGAGGCAGACACATGACTAACTAGGAAGACAGAGGGGGAACGAAAGAGAGAAACGGGGATATCATGTACAAATTAAATAGAGGGAAACTGCAGGGAAGTGAGGAGGAAGAGAGGAGTCAGAGTGACATCCTGCAGGCTCGGGACAGCAGGGGTCTGTTCATGGACTCTCTATTCTGGACACTAGTGATACAGATGATGTGCCAAGCCAACCCAGGCCACGCTAAAACAAAGAGCAAATGGCCTGGGGGCGGTGGATGATTCCCCTTGAGATGTGCTGGAAATTCCCATTTCTGATGCATTTTCTGCAGCTAAAACTGAGACAGAAATCACAACTGATCTCTAACAATGCAACCGAGGGCTTCCAGTATTTAGTGTAAGAAGCAGCTGCAGCAACATGGATGTCACCATCATGTACTTTGAACATTTACTCCCAAAAAAGGGTCACTGTGCCTTTGAGCAACCCTCTGCTTATGGTTTTCCACTCCAGTTCCCTCAGCTGGACGTCCGTGACTCAAGAGTGCATGAAATATCTGTTCAGTATTACTTTTTTTCCAGCTGAGCAGCTTTCTCTCTGCTCCACCTAACAACTCCATAGATGCAATGGGCTCCACACTGTTATCTGTGAATCACAAACTGCAGGTTCACCGCTCTACCAAATCACTTCATAATGGCGAGGACCAAAGTGACTTTAACGGTAAAAATAGTGTGGTTGTAGAATGGTTTATAAAAGAGAGAAATAAGCCTGTAATGATAGGGAGACGATGACTCAGTTAGTCACGTTCTGCACTTCTAGCGAGCCTCAGGGTGCATCTATATTTACTCAGCGATGACCTCAGTTCATGCAGCGAGGCAAAGAACTTCTTCATTTCTTGTATGCCTGTGTGTCTTCTTTTCTTTTATAGAATCCATTTCACACACTCCAGAATGAATGTTTGATTTAAAGCACTGGCATGTGAGAATGGGCAATAAGATATAGACGTATAAATAAAACATTGGATATGGAGAGACAGAAATAAGTGCGGCTATAAAAGTGTGTCTCACGGTTTTTCTCTCTGCTTTGAGCTCCTGCAGGTAGCGTGACAGCTCGGCGATGATTTGAGACGTCAGGTTCTCCGCTATGACCTCGTGTTGACCCGCGTAGTCATTGAGCTCATTAAGTGATGTCAGGAAGGCTCGACAGAAGGTGAACCTGGAGAGACAGGAAGTGACAGGGTTGCAAACGGAGGCAAACACAATTAATATGTTCAGATAAAGTCATTTGGAGCTTGGATTTGTGATGCTTGCAGGATCATGTTAAATGATTTATTTTTTTGCTACAGGTAGCATCGGGTTAGCTTAGCATAAGGACTGGAAATGAAGGAAACACATTCAATCCAACATATGTAGCATTTAAAAACACAAATATACATTTTCACATGGTGTAATGTATCAAACATTACAAACATAATTTTGTTTTCACTCATATAACTCTTCCTAAGAAATGAACACAGGTAAGCATTTGTTTTACTTTTTAAATATCGAAATATAACCGTTTCAATCCTGTACATTGCTAAAATATCATTTTATGTATTCTATTCCTTCACCTTTAACACTTAAACACTGTTTTGGTAATCGCTTTTTCAATCACACAATGTTATATTGTAAAATACATATTTTGCACATTCCATATTTCTATTTTTTGTTCTATTCCCTGTTATATATTGAAGTACAATGCACACATTTTACTAATTCATTTCTTCTATGAATTTGATATACTTTTTTTTATTTGTAATGGTGCAATATTGATACGATTTTTGGATAGTATATCTTGTAAGAATGTAATATCTTCAAAAACATTAAAAAAAAATGTTTTAAAAAAATATATAGATAAACTATAACATAAACGTATTTCCCCCCAGGAAACAATTGGATATTCCTTTGATTTATTGTAAGAGCGACATCCTTTCACTTACTTGCTCTCATCCTCCTCTCGTGAGTTCTTCTTGGGTTGATACTTCTTTGATAAATTCCTGTAAGGACAAAGAATGCAGCCTTGTCAGACATTTCTTTCCTAAAAGCTCATTCTGCAGACGGGTAGTGCACCCTTCCCATTACATTTCCCTGACAGCGCCTTTATGGAACCTGCCAAAGGATCATCCAGAACACCATTCAATCCAGCAGAGTGCCTTCTTCCACAACATCCCCTTTGCTCTCTTCTGCTCATAAATCATGCCCTCCAGGAGAAGCATGCATGCAGAGCCAGTCACCAGAAACAGGCCTGCTTTTCTTATGCGGCCATGGCCCTTGTGTTGACTCTGGCTGTATGTAAGTGGCACGAGATAAGTGCAGCGTGAGGGGAGAAGGAAAAATGTGACGGTGTGTAAAGATGAAAGAAAATAAAATGAAGGTGACAGTAGGGATAAGACTGCGGACAATAACCTTTGGATGGTTCTGACCATCCTTCAATGTCCTGTTTTCAACCTAGCAAGCGTTTTGTGTTTTTTTGACATGTTACAGTACATCATGTCAGCCCTTGTTCCATCATAGTAATAATACATTTCATTGATATAGCACACTTTAAAATCGACGTCATCTCAAGGTGCTTCACAATGCTATAAAGAGAAAAACTAAGTAAAAAATGATCTAAGGAGCATATTGATTAAAATATGGTAATATAAAAAAGGTTAAGAGCATAAAAGGTTAGAATAAGAAATCATGACGTTGCAACACACTGCAACACCCAATGCTCTGTTTGATGGCTGCCCTGTCAACAAAACATAATAACGTGCACCATGCTCTGATGGATTTGGGTCATTGTGTGCTCAGGCCTTCAGGATGCTTTGTTCAATCATAATTAAAGAGCACTGTTCTCTATTTGAAAAGATGAGCCAACAAGTGAAGCATGTACACAAACAACCACAGCCATTCATTTTCACTCAGACAAAGCAAATCTGAATATAACAAATACAAATGAGGGAGACACATTATCCAACCATATGTTACGTCCTACAAGTCAAGCCACAGCTTATTAGGATGTTTTGTTGAATGGCTGCACAGATTCGTTTAGATCGGATACTATTCAATTAAGATTGATTTATTTCCCGCCTCAGCAGATATTCGTCTAATGTGATAATTGAAAAGGAAAAAATGCCGGTTCAGTAACTGGAGACGGACAGGGCTTCATTAGCAGATAAGAGAACAGGAAGATATTGAATGTTTTTCTTTGTATGCCGCAACAGAATACATGATATTGTTGAGTTTAATGGAAAAGTACGAACAATTAAAGGCTGGCAGAAAAAGCTGTTTGATGAAGTGCCATTATATCACATTACATGTGTTAAACATAAAAAAACTGTTATATCAAAGAGTGTGGCGTATCTGCTTTAATGCTGCAGGGAATTTCTTGATTATTCTCTTATTTGCGTTGTCAGTTTAACCCTTTGTGCTCCACGTATGATTCTGAGCTGCTGTTCTCTTGGTTTGATTCTATTGTTGAGACGTTTATACTTGTATGTGTCTGTTCTGTGGATTTCATATTGCATCCATGTTGTACAAATGTATAAAAAGAGATAAATGTTTGCAAAAAAGTTATAAAATGTATAAACAGATCACAATTATTAGTACAAGGTCAGAAGCTCAAAAAGTCTATCCACTTCTCATATGAGAATCAAAAAGATAATGTGCTTTTATAGAGCTGTTAACAGCAGTGGTAGTTGCCCTTGTTGTGAGATTATAGCACTGCTGGAATCTGAATGCCTCAGCATGAACATGTTGTAAAAAGGTCATTCAAAATTCCTGCTTAAATAAATAATGCATGTTCTAAAGAAAAAAACCGACATGTAATGCTGTCTCGCTCGGCTCACACCCCCCACGCCTCTCCTCCCTGGTGGTGTTTGCACTGTTGCTAGGCAGATCTATCCGTCTATCTCTCTCTCCATGTCCTTCTAACCCCATCTCTAATTAGAGCTGCTTCTCACTCACTCTCTCATTCACAGCCAGATGTCATGTGTCAGATTGTGTACCTGCTCACCTCAACAACATATAACAAACATGTCAAAATGAGTCCAGCAGTTAGCTCATAATTAGGATTTAACAAGCACTGTTGCACAAATACATGTTTGTGTATTGCCTTATTATCTCTGAGTGTATTTGTCTGAAAGGTGATACATCATGGCTGCTATACACTGGTTTTCAATATAAACCCAGCCAAGACGGACTCTTTTATTTAACCTCACCCAGTCTCTTTGTGAGCAGGACTTTATTCCCACTGTGATATGGATTATGCCAGACAGGAATTTAGAGGAGGGGGAGGAGGCATGAATGCATTGCCCTGCATTAACTAGACTGAAGCATTGTGCATGTTTACACCATTGCCTTGGAAGAGGATTATTCATGGCTTACTGCAGTGTGTGGTTGCTGGGGTGATAGAAATGGTACAAAGTAGTGTGGTAGGCATTGATGGCGTTCAATTGGAGACAAAGTACAATTATTTTCATTTTGCTTTATTTATTAGTTTTTGGACTGTGAATGTCATAACATAATGACAAATGACGATCACGTTTTCTCAAAGCCGAATACGACATTTAAGAAGCTGCAATCAGAGGATTTCTAGTCCATTAGTAGATTGACAGAAAAGAAACACTCAACTATTTTTGAGTCACTTTTCCTTCAAAAATGCCTCTCAAATATAAAGATTTTTCTTCTTTTTTGGGGCCTTTTTCACTATTTTTGGGGGATTCTCAGGCCCCGTTTACATGAATACGGTTCGGGTTTTATCCGCTACTTTTCTCTTTTGTATAGCCCGTTCGTTGACACGAGGTTGTAACGGAACCGCGGAAACGGACCCCTCAAACGATAACGGGTCCCAAGGTGGATAGATCTGCGGACGGAACACTCTGGGGGTAGCGTGGTCAGTAGCTACCGCTACTGCTACTGACCATGCTACAGATGTTAGTGCACAATCTACAGCTCCTCTACCACAACCATCAGCAACAAGTGGACATGGAGAACTACATCAACTACATGTTGCTAAATCCACGCGGAGAATAAACAGAAGGGCAACCAGGCAACCATGGCAAACATGGCAACCATGCTCGGGGGTCTTCTTTGCTGCTTTTGGTGTATTTTGTGGCGGAAGTACAGCGCCACTTACAGGCCCGGCATATGTACTACAGTGTCTTTAGTGGGTCGAGCGGTCTCGTGTGAACGGACACGTTTATTGAGCCGATTGCGTGTGAACGGAATATTTTGATATCGAATTTGGTTCATTTTCGTTTGCGTTCCCGTGTAAATGGGGCCTCAAGCGCATGCTAAGGGTAGCGCAGAAGGAAAGAAATCCCCCCCAACAACAGCGCTTAGACAAAAGAAGAGAAGATCAAGCAGCTATTTCCATTACTGCATTAGATCTAACAGCCTTGCATTTCTGTTTGTTTGAGCGCCCGTTAGATTAAGCCTAATTTCATTAAGAGGGATAATTAGTCCTGAGGTAAGGCCAAGTGGCTCCACAACAAAGAGGCTCAGTGTGTTGAAAACACAGGAAACCCTATGACTCAAGCTCTCCTGTCAGTACATCCTAATTTCCTAATTTTAGCCTTTTACTGACAAGTGTGCAAATGTGCACGTGCAAGTGTGTGTTTGTGTGTGTGCTTGATAACAGACCCAGCTTGACAGCAGGTCGTCTGTGTAAGCACAGCGACTGAAAACATCCGCACCATCTGTGGAGCCTGAAGTTTAATAACAGCCGACCTGCCAAGGAGAGGAGTCCAGCCCCCGACCCTTTGTCCAACACACTGTGCACAGATGCTGACTAATTGAATTATGGGATATCTGTTTGAGTTCAAATGCAAGGGCAAATCTGTCTGTGCGTATGTTTGGGGGTTACATCACAGTGCTCTAAACTGATTTACTTTGGACACTTTCCAGAAGTTGTACACACTATCAGAAGGTAATTCAACCGCCACTGTAAACAAGATATGAATGCACCTGAATATTTTCTGTTAGAGCAGCAAGGATTTGATTTTGAATCAATCATTCATTTGATTAGTAATTTCACTAATCGTTCCATCTAGTTATTTATATATGTACATTTGCTTTGTACAATTTGTACATTTAATTTAATCTAACTAGTGCCTTCTATTTGCTGTTACTACTTATTTTATCACTGTTATTCATTCTTCCTATGTCTTTTACTATTAAGAGAAACCTAAAAAATTGTGTTTTACCCGAGTATGATGACAATAAAGATATCCTGATTCTGATTAAGTCAACGGGACAAAGAAATCCAACTACTCTATCTAACCAAATATTGTTTAGCCTCTCAGATATTGAGACATTGGATAATTATACTTTCTGTCAATAATCATTTGCTTTGCATACGTTTGACAGTGTTTCTTTTAATTCAGTAAATGCATAGAAAGAAAAGAATGAAACAAAAGTACGAGAGATAACCAAACAGTAAAAAAAAAAACACCAATTCTGTTATATATATATACATATATATTCAGTTTGATCTTTCTTCAAGTGTTAACAATTAATGGGTGTAGGGCTCTGCTTTACTGCATGCAGGTAAACACAGACAGCTAGTCCTATTATCTCAAGCAGACTTATGTTGAGTAGTAAGCTGTGGAGGATCTGTTACACAGGGTTACTATCTGAATGCTGGATTGGAATTGGCTTGTCAATCTGAAGCGGGGGAGGGGGGGGGGTTTGGGGTTGATACTTGGAGCATTAGCCATATTGCCAGGCCTCTTTAAAGATGAGGATTGTGGATTTGTGGGGCTATCTCCCACTGTGTTGGAATACATGAGGACTTAAGAGGGGGGCTGCTCATGCTACCATCCCTGCCTCTGAGGATCAGTGACTGCACTGTGAGGGGGCGGGGCCAATACGCGTGGTTGGAGGAAAAAGAACAAAAAAATCTGGGTCAGACCTGGGCTGGATAATGCTGATACCTAGCAGTCTCTATGGAAACACAAGCTTCGCCCAATCCCTCCGCAACCTGACTTCCTCTCGCCTGAAGCAGAGGCAACAACAGACAGCGAGGCAGACAGAGACACAGAAAAAGAGAGGAAGATGGAGGGAGCAGACATCCTCTGCACAGCGGTTTACTTTGATCTACAGTTGTGGAAATAAATAATACTTAAAAATATATCAGCGATAATGTACTGCTTCCCATAAGGGAATTCACGTTTCAGTTTCCCCCCCCAGAGGGAGGTCAGAGATCACGGTCAGCTACATAATGAGCTGGGGAAGATGCAGTCTCCAGTTTCAAGGACACTTCAGTAGGTCAAATCCTGCTTTAAAGGAGGGGGGGTCTCTATCAAAGCCACCTGGATGGAGAACATTCAACCCTGAATGTAGTTCAAAAGTCAGCTCACCTAATTTGTTTTGCATAGCTGGTTTCAATCTCCGACCTCTCCTTGACGAATTTGGTGTACTTCTCCACAAATTCGATCCCCCACTGCGTATGCTTCTCCAAGTTGTCAAACTGATCCTGCAGAAAAGAAGAAGACGTGATGATTAAATCACTGAAATACAAGAGACGTCAATCTATCATCACAAGCAGACAGAAAACAAAAGAAGAATAAAGCATAATCAACCTGATGACGACTTTCTATTGTCTATACTTTGGAAACTAAAGCTGAAGTCAAGTACCACACCGCTCTGAATCAAGTTCCAATATCCCAGAGTATTAGCATTAGCATTTTCGAAATAGCCTTTACACATAGGGCTTGGCCAAATGGAGTATAATGATCAGTAATTAAAATACAATGTATAATTGGGTTAAACCCAATAATAAAAAATAGAAAATGACATCACTTTGCTGTATCTCAGTCTATAACACCAGGTAAAGACAACAATTATGCCATCTAACGATATTCAAATCTAAGACTGTGTCAAGTCAAGTGTCATACTGTATAACAATACAATATTGATATATTGCCTGACCCTGATTGATTGATTGATTGATTGAAAAGTTTATGAACAGCTTGTATATTGGGTACAGTACAGTACAGCTCAAAACATACAATTGTTAAGGGGATGCAGACCAGAGAAAGGCTTTCGTCTTGTTTACATCAGGGTCCCCCATTTCCAATTCATCATGTCATTTAAGACATAAGACCCTAATGACACATCGTTACCAATCTTCTAAAGATTGAAGCTATCCTCATGTTGTGTAAATATTCTCCATTGGCTTTCTTTCAGCCAAAGCAACCATGCTATGTGTGTCAGTCAATGTGTTGTCAACGTGCAGCTGACCTGCCCTCATGGCAACAGTTCAAACATCCAACCCCTTCAAGGGGGCATTCCCTGGCCTACAGCGGCCCAGCATTGGAAGTCGTAGAAGTGAGTTTCCATTGGTTCCCCTAATCCCATCTCAAAGTGGAGTTGGAGGACTGAGTGTAGTTGATAACCAAATACAGCTGTTGGGGCAGCTGAACTCATTAATCACGATTTCTTCCTGACTTGTGAGGAAAAAAATGAGCCTCTAGTTGGCCGAGGTCACGTCTAGAAATCCATCAGTTCAGAAAAAAGCATTTAATCAACACACACACATGCTACAGCTAATCTCCACTGACAACCATACGGCTTCTTCCAAATGACCATAGCGTTGGTTTTGAAGATAAACATAAAAAACAACCTTGGTGTAGCTCCAACAGTCCCCCATCCTCTCCTCCACCATGTCTGAAGTCTTCCAGCTAACAGTCCCTCTAGCACTGCACACTAAGCAAGTGAAGCACCAGCTCTAAAAAGGTTTGTCTGATTCTCTGAGAATGAACTCTACGACTGCTCGGAGCCTCTCTGCACAAAGAGCATTTTCATATCAAAGACACAGGAAGCGGTTGTGGTGATGAAAAGTGTGAGCGTTACGTTTAGGCCTCTGTGCAGCACTTCTTTAACTGACTTTTTATTAGAATTAAGGCATGCTGAATATACAACATGTTAATATACTATTCTATTTGTATTGAGTCACATGTCCTAAGTGTGATGACATCGTTCAAACACCTTTAAAGCTGCAGTCAGACTAAACGTCTCCCAATTGAAGCACACAAAGACAACAATGGAGAACTTCCAATGAGAGGGACTTCCTATTGTTAGTCAATCAACCAACTATTCATTATAAGAATGACAAGATGAAACCTAACAATAAGAACCTTTATTTTGATAACTTCTCAGTCTAGTCACATGTTTTTATTTTCTCAGTTTCTCTACCCCCAAGACTCCTATTTGTTGATTCTGCAAAATAGCTCCCCTTCCCTTCCCTTTAATTCCCAAAAGCATGCTCACTCTCAGATCTGTGTGCCAATTAAAACAGCATTTGCTTCATTATCACATAGGTAACAACCCTTCTTGGAAATCAACAAACATCACTGCTGCTACACCATGCACATGAAACCCTCCTCTTTCACAAAATCACATTACCTTTTTTTGGGGCACCATTTTATCCAGTGTGGAATGTATACCCCTTTAAAATATCTTAATCCAAAAAACGTCCATCCAACAGCAACTCCAAAGCAGCACAATCGGCTGAGGTTAGGCTACATCCACAGCTTCAGATTAGAAAGGGAGATTAGAGTGTGGAACAATGTCCGCTGACCCCACGCGCTAACAAAGAAACTGCACAGTGGTAGCAAGTCATTCCAGATTGTCTTTGAGGAGAACAATTCCAGAAAGCAGGAGAGGAAGCGATGTAGCTCTGGATCCCTCACACACACATAACACACTGATATGAGGCCACGGCTGCACACAGCATTCAGGCTGAATGCTCCATCAGGCGTAAGGTGGAGGAAGTGGGATGGGGAGAGAGAGAGGGGAAAAGCAGAGGGAGGGGTGTTGAGAGGAGCAGAAATGACAGAAGAGGTGGGATTATATGGGAGGGGATTACATATAATGGAAGGGGGGGTGTCATACTGCTGCTGGGGTCTCATAAACCCTTCACTTTACCATATTTCATATAAAGTATAGCCTATATGAAATACACTTTATGAACCGAGACACGACGAGTCATTCCAAGCTCATCATCGCTAACATCAGATGGGATAGAAGTTGCTCGAGGAAAAAATGGAAAAGTCATCAACAAAGCTTTTCTCCACCTCCAAGGGAAAGAGCTGATTAATAAATGATGAGTCTGAGTGGGGCGAGTATCAAAGACAACAACACATTATGTGAAAGTGTGTCAGATGAGAGCATACATAGTCTGCCTGCTGTATTACATTAACCTCCTGCCTTCAACAATGACTAGCTCTGTACAGATTATTGTGCATTCTGCAAGTGATTTGGCCCTAGCAACGGAAAACAGATCCAATGAGAGAAATCTGTGAGCAAAGAAAAGCAGAAAAGCATGTGAAGTGGGGGAGGAACAGTCAATCCATACTATTTTGGTCATTGTTTAATCACGCCCCGAGCAGAAATTCACATATGCGAGTACTTTTTTACTTTTTTGTACATATTGTTGGGTTTTCCATTTTTGGTCAATCAATACAAACTAGTCAATTGAAATGTTCAGTTTATTTGTTTACGTTTTATTGAACAGACAATAATAGTTCATTGAGAATGAGAGATGAGAATGAATTGAAATGTTGAGTAAAGGCCCGGACACACCAAGCTGACACCAAAGAACTGACACGGCCGGACCCCCGACTGTTGCGTCGCCTCGCTTCTCTGCGTCTCGGCCATGTGTCGCACTGGAACACACCGCAAACACTTCAGCCGACGGCCAAGTAGCACGTACGAACTGCGCATGCGTGAGTGGCAACAACTCTCCTTACCGGTGTGTCCGGGCCTTTAGAATGATGCTGAAGTGATGATGTGAGTTTCTTTCATTACCTGGGACAGTTTGATAGTTTTATCTAAGGCTAATGTTTGCATGTGTTTTCCTATTTACTCTGTTATATTGTGATGTTTGGTATTGACGCAAGACAACTTTCTCCCATTGGAAACAATAAGTAACCATACCCTGAAGAAAACCACACATTTGATATAAATCCATTCCAATTGAGCTATATTTCAGGCTATGATCTTTACTATGAATACAAATATTTCAAAACTAAAGACAGAGGTAAAGACTAAATGACTCCCCCCGCCCCCCTCCTCTGTAAAGCAATAGGAAAATAATGTCAGTAGGAATATATGAATTTCCAAAACATGTCGAATGAATTCAGTAACTTCAGTCTGCACTGCATGCAAATGATAGTGTCAGGTGTTCTGCCACAGTACACTCACGGCCCGGCCACACAGCGGCGTGCGTTGACGCTTGCCGGCGCGCGTGTCTGACACTCGACCAACAACCAATCACATGAATCTCCCGCCCCTGACACACAAGCATGCGGTTTGATTGGCTAGAGCTTGTACTGGCATATGATTCGATTGGCTGGCGCTTCTGTCGAGGCGTCAAAAGTTGAACATTGCTCAACCTTTGCAGCGAGCAACGCCAGCAACGCTCCACGTCGCTTCCCAAAATGCAGTTCGGCTAAAAGTGACGTCACCCCATTCAAAGTGAATGGGCAGAAGCGTTGGAAGCTTCAACGCACGCCGCTGTGTGGACGGGCCGTCATAGTCAAACATGCAAAGGAATCCTGTAAACCCCCTCCTATGGCCCCCCGTACTGAAGACTAATAACTCCAGCTTCAAACTTCCCTTCTGTCATGTGCGGCCTCTGACACCTGACCTCGCTCCTGCAGGAGGGGGCTGGGGGTCCTGCAGGAAACCAACCCGCCCCTCTCTGCTTGTTATTTCAGGACGATCCCACTCACTCTGATGCATGTAGTGTTGTGGTAGTACATGGAGGAAAATAAATAGAACCGTGCAGCTAAATATTTTTTATTATCCAGGAAATTGGGAACAGGTTCAAACGGAGAACAAAGCAGACACTTAGGAGTTACTAAATATATGTCGTCTGTCCATATGTTCAGTAGGAAAAGACCCCCACCTTTCCCAACTGCTGATGCCGATTATGCTGCAGTTTAATGTATTAGACTGCAAGTTAATCTGAACTAATGCACGTTATTTACCAATCCAGATCAAATCTCTTCTTTCCATCCACACTGACGGCCCTTTGACCTTCATCCCTACAACATAGAGGAGTCCTCTGTTCTCATGTAGCAGAATATAGCAACAAACACACTTTTACCACATTGTTTCACTAGTTTATTCATGCTACTGCTGCTCCATTTTATTCTGACTGGATCTTAATTAAATGATTTAATCTTATACTGTTTTTTTTAATTTGTTTTTGCCATGAAGCTCTTCATCTCTTTTTTGTATTATTATATATTTTGTCCTACCTTCTGACTCTTCTACCAACTTTGCATGTCCCTTAAATGCTTTTATGTATTTGTTTGTGTACCATTTAGGACTGCAACTGTAAAAAGTGTAAACCTTACAGCAACTGGATATCTGATATTGAAATGTAACTACTGCTGAGTAGAATGTTGTAATCTAACTACGAAATGTATTGTACTGTAACATTTGACTTTGATCTGAACTGATAACTCCTCTTCCTTAAACACGACACCAGCATCTGTACCTGTCTGTGTGTTCTTTATTGTCCAGAAGGCAGTGATGTAACCATAACAGCAGCTAGGTTATTTGTATGTCTTCTAGGGCTGCACGATTTGGGGAAATAATCTAATTGCGATTTTTCTGACAGATATTGCGATTTGATTTGCGATATTTGTTTTTAAGCGACCCAACGGAAGTTTATTGTAAAATGCGGCCATATCTCCGGCTAGGAAGGTCGCATCAACGTGTTCCCGTCTCTAGCACACCGAAGCCCGAGCTACGAGTGAAAGAACTAAACTTACATGAAACTTCCGTTGGGTTGCTTTAAAGTCAAGCTTCAGTTTAAGATTCACCCTGTAATAGAAACATGTGATGGAGCATTACTAACCTGACCCAGACGTTTCACCAAACCATCGAGGAAAGCTCCATTGGAAGCCATTTGGAAAGGGCAGGCACTTTCAAAAACACTTGGCAGGTGATTGGATCAATCTGTCTATCACCTTCTATCATGGGCCACTTCTGATTGGTTAACAATGGCTGGTACATGTGGAGCACAGCACTTCTGATTGGTGTGGATGACTGACACACAAGACTTTGATAATCCCATCATTTAAAATCGCGATTTCGATTTAAAATGGATGAATCGTTCAGCTCTAATGTCTTCCTGTTCCTCCTGCCATCCACCAGAGAAGGCAGTAGAGAGTAATAGCACTACTAATACTAACTCCACTGCTGATGCTTTTTTTAAATCCTCAGCGGGTTTTAAAGACAGTCTGAAATAAATGGAGCATGTAGAAGAAGTGTTCTCTGACCTGACCACAAATGTCCCGAGGACCGCTGGGTCTTACATAATACTGCACCTTTCAATGTGTTGTCTTTGTTGCTGTTGCAAAAAAAGCTGCTATGCAAGAACATTTTCAGGCATGATCTGACCAAGTCTTATTCTACTTGTCATTGCCTTCAAGAGCTATTAACGGTCCTTGTTCTTTTAGTGTGGATTAAAGGCAAGATATTGTAAACGTGGATAAAGACACATCAACAGAAAGAAAGTAAGGAGCAGTGTGAACTGAACACTTTCAATAACAATGCTTTTAAAACCTCTTCAAAATCGCTCCGGGGCCCACTGCTTTCTTTATTGCAGCTCTGCCACCTATGCAGAGGTCAGTGCGCTGCTCTGACGATCACAACATCAATGTG